CCCGCCTTGCTGAACCCAACCCCTTACCCTAAAAATCCCCTTACTTTTTCACAGTTTCAAAATAAGATTCAAAGATTAAAAAAAGAGTTTTTTCACATTTTTTCACAAAAATAATAACACTTTTCTTTACTTCTCCTCCCAGCCTCTCCCCTTTCATAAAATCTTTTTTATTTTATTGTAGTTGTTCTTACCATGTTTACTTTTTTTCAAGAGGATTCTGACTTATTATAGTTAAAAGTGCTTTTTCAATTGCTTTTCGACGATTTTTAAATTGATTTTAGAGGGTTTTGCGGCAAAAAAGTTGACTTTATTGAAATTACACACATAATAAGTTGATTGGATTCAGAACGCAATAAATTTGTTTACAGTTGGTAGAAGTTTTTGATTTTACGAGATTATAGGCTTAAGATAGTGTAGTTTAGAATGGGATAGGCAGATTTTAAAAAGTTTAATAAGAAATGCAAAACGAAGCTATTTTCTTTACAAAAAGTTGTTTTTAAAAAAATGTTGGATTTTTGGAAAATTTGGGTTAGTTGTGCTCAAAACGCAATAACTCCGATAACAGTTTTTTTTGATTTTTTGAGAATATGAGTACGACATAATGAGCTTTCAGTGTGTTACAAAAAATGTATAGTTTTCAGTTTAGAAATGGCAAAAACGCAACAATTTTCTTTACAAAACATTTTTTTTGCCAAAATTTGATTTTTGTTTAACAAAGTTTTAGGCTTAAAATGGAAATAATTATTGCAAAAACATTGTTTCCATGCTTTTTAAAAACCTTTCCACCGTTTTAAAAGTGTTGTCCGAGGCGGTTGTAGCCCAAAAAGACTCCAACTACAATATTAAGTGAGTTGTTACAGCCCCGCGCGTCTCATCGTGTTGCCTTTTACGTGGTGCTGGTTGATTGATAGCCCAGGTTGAAGTGACCTTAAGCCGCCTTCTTATTAAAGTACTTTCCCTTTAATGTCTAGAAGAAGGATGGATGCAAAGGGTCATTCCTGGCACGGTCCGTTTGTTGCGCTTTGGGAAAAAGAAACTGCAGGTAGGACTAATAGATCAAGCGTTGTAACCGTATAGTGGATTCGGTTTTCACTGTATGGGTTGGAATGGGTTTGAAATGGACTTTTGGGCGTGTCTTAATAATTTTTTCAAAAATTTTGAAAAAAAAATTTTTTTTAATTTTTTAGGTTTGGCAAAATAAATCCACAGGGGGGCCCTGTTGATTTTTTTTTGATTTTCAAAACGTAAAAATAAATAAATAATTATATTAGTTAGCTTAAAGAAATGTGTGCGCCATAACTCATAACAATTTGATTTGAGAAGGGGCTGAGAATTATTTGTACGACCTAATAAATATTGGTATTTTTCAAAATCCTGCCAAATTTAAATGTATCGATTTTTTAAAATTTTTTTGATTAATTTAAAAAGAAACGTAATAAGTAAAACATGTTTTAAAAAAGTGGAAAAAATCAATTTTAATCTGCAGTTTCGAACATTTAAAAAATAGGTTATATTTAGAAATTTTTAGTTTATGATATGGGTCAAGCTATTACTTTGCGATAACTGTAGAAAGAGCAATTTCTATCACTAATTTTTCATTTGATAGTTGCGGTAAATTTCTTTAGTTGTACTCTTAACCTGATTTTAGTTTATCAGCCTTCGAAAAAATTGATTTTTTTTTATTTTAAAAATTTTTTTAATTTTTTTAAAATTTTAATGCAAATTTTGTAATGAATGATATCTTAGCTGATAAAATTGGGGCAAAGGCCAAATTTGGGTCAATTGTAGGTTAGATTAGTGTGATTCTAAATACTAAATTTTTGAGTTTTTAAAAAGAGTGGAAAGGGGTTAAAAATTTAAAATTTTGGGGAAAAAATGTATACAAAACTAAATTTTAAAAAAATTTTATAACGGGCCTAGTTTTTATTTTTTAAATTTGAAATTTTGGTATTAAAAAGAGTATAAACTAAGGTTGCTTTATGGTAAATTTAAAGTTTGAGACTTTTTTCAAAATTTAGTTAAAATGAATTTTCAAAAAGGACTCTTTATAAAGGCTTTTCCTTTGTTTTTCACCAAATTTTTAACCATAACTTAATTTTCCTGAAACATAAAACTTCAAACTCGCATTATCCAAAATCCAAAGTCCCTTCTCACCTCCTTCCCAAAACTTCCCAACCTCCCCTTCCTCACCTGAGGGCATTCTCGAGGAGGAAGGTCGATGACCAGCGGCGAGAGCGCGCAAAGAATTTCGCCTTTTTTCTCTCTTTTTTTTGCCTTCCGGCGGCCTCCAGGGCGGGCGACGACGCGAATTGGGGTGGGGTAAGGTCCGAAGACGATCATCATCATCATCACCTTTCACCCAGCCGAACGTCGTCCATCTGGGTTAGACGCCTGCGGGGTTAACCCACTTCCACCAACCCCCCCGTGTGAAGGTCGGAACGGCGTGAACACTGAAAACCCTTTTTTTCGCGACTTTTTCCTAATCTTCTTAATTGGGAGGGGTAAATCGTTGAGGCGGGAGTGGACGGTGGGGTTGGAGGGGTTTTGGAAAACAATTTTTGAAATAGTTTTGTAAAATGGGTTGAGTGGAATTGGATGGAAGTTGGTTAGTTTTTAGGGGGTTTAGGGTAGAAAGGGCAGTTTTTATTGGTTTTCAGGGGATGATTTAGGATTTTAAGAACTTTAAATAGGAATTTGAAAGTATGCTTAGATTTCGCAATATAGTTTTACTTAAAGATTAGCTCAAAAAATTTTAAACAAAAAAAAATTTGCAAAAAAATTCACAGGGGGGCCACGTTGAGATTTGTCAAGAATTTTCTTGGCCTAAACTGCCTAAAATATGACATTTTTACTGTAAAATGACCTTTTATGATAATAATTTTTATGAAAATCAGATAATCATGATCTGGTTGTAAATTATGACTCTTTCTGACCTATACGACGTAAATCAAATTATACATCTCGTATGTGGTTGGTTTTGGTATAAATGAAGGTTTTGTGGTTTGTGTCATTTTAGATATGAGTTTGTGATTTTGTGGTGATTTTAGAGTAAATTATAAGAATTTTTTTAAGAAAGTAAAAATTTTTTAATAAAATTTAATATTTTCAAAAAAAATTTTTTTTCGAAATTTGAAAATTTTGTCACAAAATCGTATCTTTATACCCATTTTAAGCTTTTACTATGTTATTCTTCTCTAAAAATGCCCAACTTTACTAATTAAGACGTTTTTTTATGACCCAAGCCATAAACCATTTTACTCTCGTACTCACCCCTTATCACCAGGTAACCTTGAACTCGAGACTCTCATACCCTTTTACCGTGACATGACGTCGTAAAGGCATCACTTACATTACCCTCATTTGTCATTTGCGTAACCGGTCGGTCCGCCCACTTTTGCAGTCCGGGCTGATACCTCAACACTTATCAGCGCCGCTGATCTCGGCGTGAGTGACAGTTCGGCAAAGAGTTGTGCTGCCAAAGTGCGGCGCACTCTTTTTCCTCTCTTTTGTCGTTGTCTAGCACCAGCATTGCCGATAAATCTCGAATCGGTCGATGATTCTTGAAGCAAAAGTTTGGGGTAGGGGTAGGGATGATTTTGATGCTTTGGTACTGCTTTTGTTGGAGAGAGGGGCGTTTTTGAAAGTTTTGGTACTGTTTAGGATTAAAAAGGTTGATGATGGTATTGCCAATACTATTTATAGTTTACATGGTTACTGGCGCAGCACTATTGGGCCAAAAAATTTTTTTTTAATTTTAGGGCGGGTGATGGTACTATAGACTAGTTATGCTTTTTTAAATGTCAAAAGAGTATTATTGGTAATATATATAAATGACAGCGTTCACAAGATCATTTTCTGTGTTACATATGAGATATACAATTGACTTTGATACCCTTTACTACCTTTTATAAAATTAACTTTGATACCCTTAATACTATCTTTGAATATTAATGTTAAATATAGTACTATACCTCTGCTGTCATCAGTACTAGCTTAGTTTGTTACAATCTTACTATACTCTTTCTCAAAACATCTTTTTCCCTTTCTTCTTTTACCTCTCTGATCTCTGAAACATTGGCTACATTTGCTACAGTACTTTTAAGTTTTTACGACATTGCCTCTAATTTTATGACTCACCAAACTTCAGTTACCTATACCTCAATTGTGAAACTTAAACTTTGTTTTACTGAAGCAATTTTGAACATTTTAAATTTGTAGTTTGAGAATACTAACCTTAAGCATCTTTTTTGAAATTTCATGTTTATTGTCATGTTTTATCATCTCAAAACATGGTTATTTCGAAATAATAGTAGCTTTTCGATAGCTTGTGATAATGATTTTCAAGTTTTCAACGTACTGAGTTTTGAAAACATACTGACTTGACAGTATTTTTAAAGATTCTGTACGAGAATCCAGGCTACAATGTACAAACATCTCTTTTCACCATTTCACAACTTTTTTTTGTATTTTTTGTCTACAAAAGTTTCGACACGAACAGTGATACTATCAGTTCGTTCGGCTTTTTTTGTTTTTGGCATTGGAAGTGTTTCTCCATCCATACTTAAGGGGTTTTGTTTTGGCGCATTACTCATAGGGTATTGTGTTATAAATAGTTGTTAAATCTTAACTTTTGGCAGTTTTTAAAATTTTTGGAGACCTGAGTATATAACTTTGGATTCTTGAGCATCTTTTGTGGTATGGTTTTTATTATTTAAGTTTTGTAGAGGGTAGGTAATGGATTTTTAAGGCAAAAGGGTAGAAAATGGGATGTTGTAGTAGATGGTGTTGGTTAAAGGGCCGTAACTTAGCGAAACCTTTGTGTATTATCGAGCCACCACTTTTATAAGATACCATAGAACCCACTTTATCATACATAACATTACTTTGATTTTTAAAATGTCACATTTTAATGTTTTGATCATTTTTTCGAAATTTATCTTATATAAAAACTTAGATGAATAAATCGTATTTTACCTCTCAATTTTCAGTCAAACGAGAGTATGGGCAGTACAGATGAGACTCACCAACCATACTGGTCATCGCAAGAACCGATCGTCATCTCCGGTATCAGTGGACGCTATCCACGAGCCGAGAATGTCGAGGAGTTCGGCGACCTTCTCCTAGCCGGAGAGGACCTCGTCACCGAAGATGACAAAAGATGGCCGCCAGGTAAGGAATTTGAAATTTTTGTTTGAAAAATATTGTCTTAGAAATGATAAGCTTTAATGTTAATGTAATTTTAGGTAACATTTTTAATTTTAAAGATTTGAAAGTTCGAAAAATAAAAAATTTTTTGAGATTTTTAGTCATTTTTTGGCGAAAAATTGAATTTTTTCGAACTTTTTCAAAACCTAAAGCTTAATAAATGCCTTAATTGATGAAGATAGTAATATATGTTTCTTGTGTACAATTTAAATAAAATATTTTACATTTCAGGATTGTTCGACCTTCCAAAACGCCATGGTAAACTCTCAGACTTGAAGAAGTTTGATGCTGGATTTTTTGGTGTCACGCCTAAACAGGTCTGTTTCTGCCATCTTTACTTGTTGGTCTTGATGCATATGTTTATATTTTGAATTGGAAAGACTATGAATTTAAAATTTTTTGATTGGGAATTTCAAAAATCGTAAAACATTGTGAAAAAAACGCAAATTTTGATCAAAAAACAGCCAAAAACCCCATTTTTTATAAAAATCCTGCCATTTTTAATTGAAATTATGAAGAAATAATAAAAAATTTTCCTTTATAGGCCAACTTCATGGACCCACAAATCCGCAAACTGCTCGAAGTAGCATACGAAGCTATGATTGATTCCGGTGAGTTGAATTTTTTCGAAAAAACCTGGAGCCGGTGTACCTTAAGGTGCCATTCAACCTTGAACTATCTCTCTGTCAGCGCCTTACCCCCCTCTCGACTGATCCCATTTTAAACGCTGTTTCTTAACAAATTGTGATTAAAGTGCACTGCACTGTCTGCCCAACAAGTTGCCAGTTTTGCAGAGTTTGACGCAGGCTGCAAACTTTTTGAAATACTGGGCGCAGCTTGTAATGACAAAAACATAGTAAAGCAGAAATTACTGTAGAAACATAAAAAAGCTAGTGAATCATAAAAAAGTGCTAGGAAGCATAAAAACAGCAGATTTTGTAACAGTTAAGCTTTAGTACCCATTAAACATCAAAGTAAACAGTTTTACAGCCAATAGTAAACAAAAGTATTAGCTTTTGAGATATGTTATCTTGATTGAGATCATTGTAAAATACGGAATAACCAATGATTATCAATAACTCTTTTTTGGATTATGAAAAGTTCGAAATTTTCAAAAATTTAAAAACCACCCCCAGACAAAAATAAAAAAATTACCCCGCCCAAAAAATTTAAAAATCCCGAAATAAGGTAGCACCATGATGAAACCCAAAAATCACCCCCTACATTTCAGGCACCAATCCCCAGGACTGGCGCGGAACCAAGACCGGAGTGTTCGTCGGGTGCTCGGCCTCGGAGACAGGAGGCGCGCTCACCCAGGACCCGGAACAAGTCACCGGTTACACGCTGACCGGCTGCGTGCGCAGCATGTTCAGTAACCGTTTGTCGTACACGTTCGACTTGCGAGGACCCTCGTTCTCGGTCGACACGGCCTGCTCGTCCTCATTGTTGGCGCTGCAGTTGGCCGTCGATGCCATCCGTCAGGATCAGTGCGAAGCCGCCATCGTCGCTGGATCCCAATTGACATTGACCCCCACTGCCGCGTTGCAATTCTTGAAGCTGGGCATGCTGAGTCCGGCCGGATCATGCCGGTCCTTCGACCAGTCCGGCGATGGGTATTGCCGTTCGGAGGCTGTAGCCGCCATCATCCTCCAGAAGCAGTCCCACGCCCGCCGTATCTACGCCACCGTTGTTCATGCCAAGTCGAACACGGACGGCTACAAGGAACAGGGAATCACGTTCCCGTTGGGAGAACGTCAAGCCGACTTGTTGGAGGAGGTGTACCGTGAGGCCAACGTCGACCCCAACTCCGTGTACTATGTCGAGTCGCACGGTACTGGAACCAAGGTCGGAGATCCTCAAGAAGCCTACGCCATCTCTCAAGTCTTCTGCTCCAACCGTACCCAGCCTTTGCTGATTGGTTCGGTCAAGTCCAACATGGGTCACGCTGAGCCGGCTTCTGGATTGGCCTCGATCACCAAGCTGTTGGTAGCCATGGACCGTGGTAAAATCCCACCAAATTTGCATTTCAACGAGCCCAACGAGTACATCGAAGGTCTGAAGGAGGGTATTCTGAAGGTCGTGACCGAGCCTACTGACATCAACGGAGGTTACATTGGTGTGAACTCGTTCGGTTTCGGTGGATCCAACACTCACGTCATTCTGAAGGCCAACGAAAAGCTGAAGGCTTTGCCCGAGATCCCTGAGGCTACGATTCCTCAACTGGTACTGTACCCTGGACGTACTAAGGAGGCCGTGGAGAATATCTTTGAGAATGTGAAGAAACACAACGAGAACGAATACCTGCCTTATCTGCTTCAACTTTTGGCCAATCAGGTAGGACAATCTTTTTGTAATGAGCCTTTAACTAGCTGTTGATCTACCACTTTTTGTTGTTATACCTAAACATTAAAAAAGTGATATTAACTTTCCTTGATTAAAATCCTCAATTCCAGACCAATCTGCCACCAAAAGACACCCCCTTCCGTGGTATGTTGATGCTGAACCGTGGTGACGGTATTGACCCTCTGATCGACATCCAAAAGATCCCTATCACCGAGCACCGCCCCATCTGGTTCGTCTACTCTGGCATGGGCTCACAATGGCCCGGTATGGCCAAGGATCTTATGGTAGTCGAGGTGTTCAACAACTCCTTGAAGCGCTGTAGCGAAGCACTGAAGCCGTACGGTAAAGACGTGTACGGTATGCTGCAGAACGACGACCCCGAGCAGTACAAGAACAACACCTTGAACTGCATGTTGGCCATCACCGCCATCCAAATCGCGTTGACCGACACCTTGAGGGAGTTGGGCGTGGTACCGGATGGTATTATTGGTCACTCGACCGGCGAGATGGGTTGTGGCTACGCTGATGGAGCCTTGACTGTGGAACAAACAATGAGATTGGCCTACTATCGTGGTACTTGTATCATGAATGCTAACATCACTAATGGTGCTATGGCTGCTGTTGGTTTGACTTGGGAACAGGCCAAGGAACGATGCCCTGAGGGCGTTTGGCCAGCTTGCCACAACGGAGCTGATTCTGTTACTATTTCTGGTGATGCTGAAAAGGTAAAATATTTTTAAATAAAAAAATTTTAATTTAAGTCATCATTTTCTTTCTTTTCTAATTTTTTTTTAAATTTGAAATTTCTTCAAATTTAACTTTTTTTTTAATTTTAGCTCCGCAAGTTCGTCGAAGAACTAAAGGCCGAAGAAGTGTTTGCCAAGGAGGTCGACTCATCCGGAATCCCATTCCACTCCCCCACCCTCGAGGTTTGTCGTGAGAAGATGTTGGAGGAGATGAAGAAAGTGGTACCAGAACCAAATCCCCGCTCCTCCAAGTGGATATCCACCTCGATCCCCGAAGAGAACTGGGACGACGAGCTGGCCCTCTACTGTTCGGCCGATTACCACACCCACAACGCCTGCAACCCAGTGTTGTTCTACGAGGGTCTTCAGAAGATCCCGGTCTCGGCCATCACCATCGAGTTGGCTCCACATTGTCTGATGCAAGCCATCTTGAGAAGAAACCTCCAGAAGACCTGCACCAACGTTGGCTTGATGAACAAGACTGCTGACAACCAACTCGAATCCTTCTTGCAAGCCTTCGGTAAAGTCTACCAGGCTGGTGCCACGATCCACGTTGAGCGTCTTTACCCTCAAGCTCCATTGCCAGTACCATTGGGTACTCCAATGATCTCCCCCATGTGGAAATGGGACCACAGCCAAGACTGGCCCGTCATTGATGGTAAACTGTTGAGTTCTGGAGGTGGTGGAGCCGTACCAACCTCGGCTTCGTACAACATTGATCCCTTCAGTCCGGACTCAAAGGAGACCTACCTCTTGGATCACGTTATCGATGGTCGTGTCCTCTTCCCCTTCACTGGCCATATGGTCTTGGCCTGGAAGACCTTGTGTAAGCTGCACCAAGTTGACTACACGAAGACTCCAGTCATCCTGGAAGACATCAACGTCTACAGTGCCACCATCTTGACCAACAAGCCCATCCGACTCGACGTTACCATCTCTCCAGGACACGGTGACTTTGAAATCAGTGATGGAGATCAATTGGCTGCCAGTGGAAGAATCTACATTCCAGACGAGAACAAGCCCTTCTACTACGAAGACTTCAAGGGTATTGAGACCTCCAAATTGGCCGAAAGAATCGAACTTGACACCGAAGACGCCTACAAGGAGTTCTTGCTCCGTGGCTACGAATACGGACCAGCCTTCCGTGGCATCTACCGTACCTGCAACTCCGGAGAGAAGGGTACCTTGTACTGGACTGGTAACTGGGTCACTTTCCTCGACTCGCTCCTCCAAACCGCGTTGTTGGCCGAGCGTAACGACACCTTGAAGTTGCCGACTCGTGTCCGCTACCTTCGCATCGACCCAGCCAAGCATTTGGCTTCGGTCGAGGAGAAGGACGGTATCCAAGTCGTCGAACTTCGCAACGACATCTCCACCAACGGTTGTGTTGCCGGAGGTGTGGAGTGTTGTGATCTGAATGCCCAAACCGTACAACGCCGTATGCAATCGGCCGGTCAACTCTATCTGGAGAAGCTCTACTTCGTCAAGCATTTCGACGAAAAGTGGGTTTTGGAATTTGATATTAAAAAAATTTTTTTTAATTTTTAACTGAACCCTCTAAAAAAATCAGTTTTAAAATTTTTAATAAAAATAATTTCAGTGCCCTCTCCGAGTTCCCCAAGGACGCCGAACGCTTCGCCCAATACGCCAATGCCCTGAAGGGATACCTCCAAAAGGGACTTCAAGGCTGGAAGGACGCTAAAGTCCTCGACAAGATCCCAGGCTTCCCTCAACTGCTCGCCAACCTTACCGAACAAAAGGTCGAGTTCAACGAAGAGGTGTTCGAGAAGCTGAAGGAAGACTCCAAGTGCACCTTGGCTCAAGCCGTCGCTGAAATCTTCGAGAACATTCCAACCGATTCGGCCGATTTCGCCGCGAACGTCGCGAACAAGATGAAGTCGGTGTACAAGACGTTCGACAGTGACCGCTACTGGGCTTCTTGTATGTTGCACGATCGTCTTCTGAAGACCGCTCAAGACATTTGTGTTGAGAACTCGGCTGGCCACAAGAACAAGTTCGCCGGTGTTGAATTGACTTCATCCGACCAAATCAAGCACGCCAAGAACGGTATCAGCTCCCACCCATTGCTGGAGATCGACTGGAACTGTGTTGGTCCAAATGTTGACGACTTAGACGAAAACACCTTGACCCAACTCGGAGCCAACCGACAGAAGCTGGTGTTCGATGGACCCGACTTCAAGAACAACACCGAGATCAAAAACCTCGACTACTTGCTGTTGGACCGTATCCTGTGGCGTCAGAAGAATCCAGTAGAGTACTTGGCCAGATGTGCCGAGCTTCTTCGTGACGATGGATTCATGATCATCAACGAATTCACCAAGGACTACGAGCTGGCCTATTTTGTTCAAGGTCTTCTCGGCTACAACCTGCCACAAGACCAGAACCGTGCCTTCGGAGTCTACTACACTCAAAGTCAACTTGGCACACTCTTCCAGGACGCCGGCTACAGAATCTGCCTACGTCAATCTGACCCATCTTTAAGCACCACAACCTATGTCATCCGTAAGACACCAGATCAACCTCGCGAACCAGCTATTGTCGACATTGACGACATCAAGGAGTTCAACTGGATCGAGCCGCTCCAGAAGGTAATCGAAGAGCGTCTGAAGGAGCCCGACTACAAGACCATTTGGCTGAACTCGACCAAGGTCCGCAACAACGGTACCCTCGGTTTGGCTCTCTGCTTCGTGGAAGAGAACTTGAAGTTCAACCGTTTCCGTACTCTGGCAGACATCAGTGTCCAGAAAGCTAACCGTGAAGGCCCAGCCAAGTTGAAGGTTGAAAATGAAGTCGTTCAAAACCTCCTCCAACTCGACCTCCACGCCAACAACTATCGTGACGGTGTTTGGGGATCGGTTCGTCACATCGTTGTCAAGGACGACGATCTTCACACCCGCAAGGAAGTCGAGCACGCCTTCATCAACACCCTGGTTCGTGGTGATGTGTCCAGCTTGACCTGGGTCGAGAACTCAAACCAATTCTTCGACGTCACTCCAGGCCGTCCGGAGAATCTGAAGCTGTGCTCAGTCTACTACACTGCCGTCAACTTCCGTGACATCATGTTGGCTTACGGTCGTCTGCCACCAGATGCCATTCCAGGCCAGTTCGCCGACCGTGAGTGTCTGTTGGGTATGGAGTTCGCTGGTCGTTTGCCAAACGGTGAAAGAGTCATGGGTATTTTGCCAGCTCAAGCCTTGGCCACATCCGTCGTTTGTGACACCGACTACACTTGGACCGTGCCAGACAACTGGAGCTTGGAAGAGGCCGCTACCGTGCCAGTCGTCTACGCCACTGCCTACTACGCCTTGGTGATGAGAGGAAGAATCCGCAGAGGAGAGACCATCCTGATTCACGGTGGATCTGGTGGTGTTGGACAGGCCGCTATTGCCATTGCTTTGCACTACGGTCTTACCGTCTACACGACTGTTGGTACCCAGGAGAAGAGAGAGTACTTGTTGAAGAGATTCCCTCAATTGAAGCCACACAACTTGGCCAACTCGCGTAGCTCCGACTTCGAACAACACATCAGACATCACACTCGTGGACGTGGTGTTGACTTGGTTCTCAACTCTTTGGCCGCTGAGATGCTTCATGTGAGTTTGGATTTTAATTTTTTAAGAATTATTGACATCTTTTCAGTCCAGCACTTTAAATAGGTTTCACAACCATCTATAATATAGTAAAAGATCAATTATTTGGTCATAACTGAGGCTTCTATAACTAAACCACTAATTCTATATTATTTTAGGCCTCTGTCCGTTGTCTAGCACAACACGGTCGCTTCTTGGAAATTGGTAAAGTCGACTTGTCCATGAACTCCAAGCTTGGCATGGCTTTCTTCTTGAAGAACGTCTCCTTCCACGGTATTCTCCTTGATGCCATCATGGATCAATCAGTTGGAAAGAAGGACGACTGGGAAGAGTGCCGCAAGCTCCTGAACCAAGGAATGAAGGAGGGTGTTGTCGTACCTTTACCATCATCAGTCTTCGAATCCGACAAAGCCGAAGAAGCATTCCGTTTCATGTCAGCTGGTAAACACATTGGTAAGGTGTTGATCAAGGTCCGTGAAGAAGAGAAGCAGAAGGTGTGTCCACCATCCAAGATCAAGGTCAAGGCTGTGTGCCGCACCTTGTGCAACCCCAACCACGTCTACCTGATCACTGGTGGTCTTGGAGGTTTCGGTCTAGAGTTGGCCCAATGGTTGATCAACAGAAACGCTCGCAAGATCGTGCTCACTTCTCGTTCTGGTATTCGTACTGGTTACCAAGCTCGTTGTGTCCACTATTGGCGTCGTCTCGGCATCCAAGTCCAAGTCTCAACCTTGAACATCTCCAAGGCTGATGATGCCAGAGAGTTGGTCCGCTCTTGCCAAGAGATCGGTCCAGTTGGTGGTGTGTTCCACTTGGCTATGGTACTCCGTGATTGTCTGTTCGAAAACCAGAACATTCAAAACTTCAAGGACGCCGCTGAAGCCAAATACGACGGTACCATCAACATTGACAACGCTACCCGCGAACTGTCTTCAGACACCCTCCGTTGGTTTGTGGTCTTCTCGTCCATCACCTCAGGTCGTGGTAACGCCGGTCAAACCAACTACGGCTGGTCCAATTCCACCATGGAGCGTATCGTCGAACAACGTCGTGAAGACGGCTACCCAGGTATTGCCATCCAATGGGGAGCCATCGGAGATGTTGGTGTTATCCTGGAGAACATGGGAGACAACAACACAGTCGTTGGTGGTACCCTTCCTCAACGTATGCCAAGCTGTTTGAGTGCTTTGGACATGTTCTTGAACTGGAACCATCCAATCGTCTCATCGTATGTTAAGGCTGAAACTGGCAGCAAAAAGTCGTCGACTGGTGGCAACTTGTTGCAGACTATTGCCCACATTCTTGGTGTCAACGACATTTCTCAGATCAACCCTGATGCCAACCTCGGAGACTTGGGATTGGACTCTCTGATGGGTGTCGAGATCAAGCAGGCTTTGGAGAGAGACTATGATATTACATTGTCGATGAAGGATATCCGAACAGTCAGTTTATTAACAATAGAAGTCACAACTGACTTCATTTTAATTTTTAAAACATATAGATAAGAAAAAAGGTGAAAAACACCATTTTAAGGTCAAGTCTGACCTTAACTAGATTTATTAAATAATTTGAATTAAAAAAAATAATTCAAAAACCTAAAAATCTAGTTCAAAAACTTTCAGCTCACCTTGAACAAGCTCCAGAAAATGGCCGAAGGCGGCGGCACCTCCACCGTTCTCCAAGCCAACACCGAGTTGGAGATGAAACGGGAACAAGAACGTGAAGCCCAACAGAACACAGTCGAAGTCCTGGAGCAGCAACTCAGTCAGTTGTTCAAACTTCGTGTCGATGTGAACGACCTCGACCCCGAGAGCACCATCATCCAGTGCAACAAGGAAACTGAAGGCCCAGTCACCTTCTTCGTCCATCCGATTGAAGGTATCGCCACTCCACTGAATCGAGTCATGTCCAAGTGCACCTTCCCCGCCTACTGCTTCCAGTTCACGAGGCATGCACCCACCGACTCCATCGAAAGCGTCGCCGACTACTACATCAAGGAGATGAAGAAAGTGCAACCAGAAGGTCCATACCGACTGGTCGGTTACTCGTACGGCTCCTGCATCGCCTTCGAAATGGCCACCAAACTCCAGGAACAGGACGGCCCCAGAAGCGTGGAAAAACTCATCTTACTCGACGGATCTCACTTGTACATGCAAACCTACCGTAACGTCTATCGCCATGCCTTCGGCGTAACCGGTGACACGCTGGTCAACAACCCCCTCTTCGAATCCGAAATCATGTGCGCCATGACGTTAAGGTTCGCCAACGTTGACTACAAGAAGTTCCGCGTGGAAATGCTACAACTCCCCAACTACAAGGCCAGAATCAACAAGGTCGTGGAGACGGTGATGAAGACCGGCTTCTTCAAATCGCCCGAAACCGTCGCATTCGCTTGCGAAGCCATGAGATCTAAATTCTTGATGGCCGACAAGTACGTTTTCTGGAATATAAGGTTATATAAAAGTGAAAATGGGCTTCTTTGTATTTAAAATAATGCAAAAACAATCTTATTTCTCTAGTAACGCAACGTTTATATTACCAAACAACAAAACAGTTTATAAACGGCTAGAAAATTCAAAAAAATGTGTAATTTGTTCAAAATTGTGTTGAGTTTTGCTCTTTTTTTGAGTCAACTTTGCCTTTCAACAAAACATTGCAAAACTATACTATGCAAAGTCAAAACTTACAACAATGTAACCCATAATACGCTTTAAAAGTTTCATTTACTAATTTTGATGTTTTAGATACAAGCCAGACAAAACTTTCAAGGGACACATCACCTTGATTCGTGCAGAACAAGGAGCAGCGCGTGAAGAAGATGTTGGTCAAGATTACGGTGTTGGACAGGTAAATATCCTTTCATTTTATTGTGGTTTAGGTGTAGATAAGGTTTTCTAGTTTTCCATTTTCTATCAGAGATTTAGCAAAAATGTAGATTTTGTTTTAAAAAAATTGTATTATCTTACATCAGATAATGTTTTCTAGGTAATGAAAGTATATTTTGATTGAAAGTTATGGATCTTAAGTCTAAAAGCAATATTACGTTAGGTTAGGCGGTTGCTCAACGAAAATTTTAATGTTACCTAAATTATTAAGTGCATGTTAAAGTAAAGTTTGACTTGAAAAATAGCTTAACTTTTTTTCTAGCTAATAAGGGTAATTTCAAGTTAAAAGAACTTTGATTTTAATTAAAAATTAGATTTAGTTCATGAACAACATAGGTTGATCTAGTGTAACATTCGTTTTCGGCTTTTAGTGCCGTTTTTGGTCAAAAACCTGTTGAGCATTTTTATAATTAAATATCATACTTTATATTTATGCTAATGCAACACTTTTCACCTCAATTATCTCTTCAGGTATCCGACTACTGTGACGTGAAGGTCGTATCCGGCGACCACGACTCGATCGTGCAAGGCAAACGACACAAAGACACGGTGGAGATCATCAACCAAGCCATCAAATCAGCGCCAGTTCAGGAATAGTTAACCAAGGAATAAAATCGGTCCTCTCTCATTGACTTTAGCCAAATCCCAATTGGATGCGGATACTGTAATTTCTTGTTTTGTCTAGAGTTTTAGTTGTTTTATCATGCTGTAATCTTTCATTTTGGCTGTTTCTGTGTCTTCACATGCTGTAATTATCGAATTGTACTGTGATTCATACTTTCAATGGCTTGATATTGTGTTAGAGCTACTGTCCAGGCTGCTACACAATATCCAGTTCATTTTACAGTACTATACAGTACCTCTGCTGACTCTTAAAAATGTTGGTCTTTAACATTATTTTTCTGCCAAACAGTGGAGCTTATCACCAATTTTCTTAACGATCCTTTTTTGTATTACAGTATTCTTTCTCTTACAGTATTAATGGTATTCCTTGTTACAGTATGCGTCCCAAACACTGTTCTATTCTTCCCAACCCTTCTCAACTTTAAGCATTTTCCATATTGTTATGCATCTTTCCACATAATCGGGGTCATTATCGTATCATCTAGTGTCATTGTCGTATGTTTGGTTTGATTTCCGGGTTCGTTTAGTGGAATTGAGGCTGTGATATTGTAGTAGACGATAGCTTGGCGGCCATTGTGTTATCATTCATTATCTCTTGTCAGTCTCAGGCTTGGCGGCACGCTAGCAACGCGGTCGGGTGAACCAAACCAATATCGAGTTTAACTGTCTCTAAACTCGATATTATTGTATGTTTTGAATTGTTTTTCTAACTAAAACCCCCCAAAGACTTCTTCTTTATATTGTTTTTGAACTATCAGACATTTAGATTAATAAAGCATTTCATAAAAAGAAGTTATGGTTGGAAAAATTTATGATTGAGCTGTTTTAACATGGTTTATATCGATATTATAGTAGAAATCATTTTTAACCATAAAATCAATATGTACATGTATTTATTAAGCAAAATTTCTAATTATAGAGCATCAAAAAAGTCTTGTCGCTTTCCACCCTTCAAATTAATACCAATGAACGACATGGCTCACCCTTTAAATCAACAGTTCACAGTTGAAGTCCTGGAAAGACAGCTCAGCCAGCTGTTCAGATTTCGTCTCGATGTGAACGACCTCGACCCCGAGAGCACCATCATCCAGTGCAACAAGGAAACTGAAGGCCCAGTCACCTTCGTCCATCCGATCGAAGGTATCGCCACTCCACTGAATCGAGTCATGTCCAAGTGCACCTTCCCCGCCTACTGCTTCCAGTTCACGAGGCATGCACCCACCGACTCCATCGAAAGCGTCGCCGACTACTACATCAAGGAGATGAAGAAGGTGCAACCAGAAGGTCCATACCGACCAGTCCTGCATCGCGACGGCTCCTGCATCGCCTTCGAAATGGCCACCAAACTCCAGGAACAGGACGGCCCCAGAAGCGTGGAAAAACTCATCTTACTCGACGGATCTCACTTGTACATGCAAACCTACCGTAACGTCTATCGCCATGCCTTCGGCGTGACCGGTGACACGCTGGTCGACAACCCCCTCTTCGAATCCGACATCTTTTGCGCCATAACGTTAAGGTTCATCGACCTTGACAAGAAGTTACGCACAGAAATGGTCCAACTCCCCAACTACAAGGCCAGAATCAACAAGATCCTGGAGACAGTGATAGAGAGCGGCTTCTTTGAATCGCCAGAACCGTCGCATTTGCTTGCGAAGCTATGAGATCCAAGTTCTTGATGGCCGACAAGTAAGTTTTCTGAAATATAAGGTTATATAAAGGTGAAAACGAGTTGTTTTATATTTAAACCAAAGCAAAAATTATTTTATTTACCTTGTAATACAATATTTATATTAGAAAACAACAAAAAAGTTTAAAAACGGCAAGAAAATTTAAAAAAATGTGAAATTTATTAAAATTGTGTTGAGTTTTCCTCTTCTTTTGAGTCAACTTTTCCACTCAACAAAACATTGCCAAACCTTTTAAAAGTCAAACTTTTTTTAATTAATTCAATGAACTTTTTTCCTCAAAACTCTTCTTAACACCTATAAATTCAAATTTGTTACCTAAAAATCAAAAAATTTTCCAAAATATTTTTATCACCTAATAATTCAAATTTGTTATCTAAAAATCAACTTTTTTTTCAAAACCTTTTTATTACCTAAAACTTCAATTTTGTTACCTAAAAATCAAAAAATCCTTAAAAACCTTTTATTGCCTAAAAATTCAAATTTGTTACCTAAAAAATCCGAAAGTCAAAATTTCAAAATCATATTTTTGTCATGAATAATATAAATTTAGAGTAAAAACAAAGAAAAACTTGCCTGCAACAATCCCGCAAAGCAAACCACGGCCCACCCCAGTTTTCGGCTGTCAGGTTCGACCAGAATCAGTTGAAATTGGTCGGTCACCAAAAACCGAGGATGTTCTTCGTTGTTCTGAAAGACAGTGCAGGCCAGAAGGTCACTGTTATCTAAAAATAAATTCTTGATTTGAAAATTTTGTAAAATACGCGAGCTTTTCAATTGCTTAAAAATTGCTTTTTCAAGTACCTTAAGCGTTGTTTTATTCAAAACTATTACACAAGGCCCAAAGAAATTAAAGAAAAAAAACTCACTTAAGTTGATACAATCATTGATTTCGGCCAGAGTTCGAACCTTGGACGACAGAGGTAATATGGGTTCCGGGAGGCTTTGGAGGTCCAAGGAGAATTTGCGTAAGATAAAGTAGAATTGTAGGCTCTGAAAGTAAAAAAAACCAAATTTATTGTACAATCCCCCCCCTTTGCGAAGTCCTATGAAGTTCCTCAAACCTCAAAATCAACCCTTACCCTCCTAATCTTCTCATCATTTCCACAAGGCGCCCTTTGACTTAACGGTACATTACTAACAGCACTAGTACTCGGTGGTAAATAAAGTGCCGGCTCTGATGCCAAATTATTGATTCGTATTGTTGTTGACTCAAATCGGTAGTGTTCTTCCTCGAACATTTCCAAGTACATTTCGTTATCAACATCGCGGAGTTTGGCTCCGAGTTGTGTCAAAATGTCATCAATATTGGCCTCAATTTCTCTGTGGAACTCATCATCGGCTTCTAGGGCCAGTACCAGGCCTCGTAGTACGATACAACATAGGTCGATGGTTACTGAGCGGAGAGGGGTGTCTGGAAAGTAATACTTTACCAAAATTTTCAAATTCGGTTTTAAATTCATATCAAAAATGGCATTTTTAGACAAAAGCTCGATTTTTTTTCAATTTTTTGAAACTTTTCGAGTTAAAAAATAAAATATTAGATTGTTAAAATAACTATGTGTCCCCTAATCCTGCAAATTTGCTTGGAAAGGAAGCACAGAATTATTTGAACAGTCTAATATTTAAAATTTTAGCTTAAAAAAGTAAAAATTTTAAATTTTAAAATCAAAAATAGTGTAAAAAGTCAAGATAAGCATTAATTTCATACCTTTTACAACACACTTGCGTAGAACTTTCAACAAATGCGAAGCCAATAATGGATCACAACGTGCACTTTTCTTTTCCAACGGAATCTGAGCCGCCTCCAATATATCTTGACTTACTCCTGGATGAAAAATAATGTAAAATACGGTTCGGTTCGCCTTGCCCCGGCATGAAAAAAAACTTTTAAAAGTGATTTTATGTTTTTATTCCTCTTATCAAATTTTGGGGCTTGATATTGTGTTAGGGCTACTGTCCAGGCCACTATACAGTATTCAATCTATTTTACAGTACCATACAATACCTCTGCTGACTTTTAAAAATGTTGGTCTTTAACATTATTTTTCTGCCAAACAGTGGAGCTTATCACCAGTTTTCTTAACGATTATTTTTTGTATTACAGTATTCTTCCCCCGTACAGTATTAATGGTATTTCTTGTTACAGTTTGCGTAGCAAACAATGTTCCATTCTTTCCAACCCTTCTCAACTTTAAGCATTTTTCATATTGTTATGCATCTTTCTACATAATTGAGTTTAACTGTCTCTAAACTCGATATGATTGAATGTTTTGAATTGTTTTACTAACTAATACCTCAACAAGACTTTTTCTTTATATTCTTTTCGGACTATCAGACTTTTAGATTAATAAAGTATTTCTTAAAAAGAAGTTATGGTTGAGTAACTTCATGTTTGAACTGTTTTAACATGGTTTATATCGATATTATAGTAGGTTGCTTAATGTTTTTTTGAGGTTTTTGAAAAAACTTTGGGTTCACTAGCTTTTTTTTACTAAAATGATTATTTAGATACCTAAAGAGTTATAAAAATCATTTCTAATTGTAAAATCAATATTTACATGTTTTTATTAAGCAAAACTTCTAATTATAGCGCATCAAAAAGTCTTGTCGCTTTTCACCCTTCAAATTAATACAAATGAACGACAAGACTTTTTTGACACCCAAATCTTTAAGAAATGTTCTTTTGTACAAATAACAATATTATGCTTGAGTGGTGGTGGAAGAGTTCACCGAGCTTTCGTTGCTCAACGACTGTGTCCATGATGCGGGTTGAGCTGATACCATGATAAGGAAAAGTAGATTGGTCACGGCCAATACGACGGCTGTCACTACGAATACCCACGTCCATTGGTCGGCGGTATTGTCGGGGGCTAGGCCATTCACCAGGAAGGGGACGATTAACATGGTTAAGGTTATCGCTGAAAATTGAGGGTTGGGAGGATGTTGTAGTAGATAGAATTTAAAATTAAAAAAAATTTATGAGTTTTTTTTAAAAAGAACCAAAATATTTTTTTAAAATTTTTTTGGGGTAGGGTAAATTTTAAAAAAATTTTGGGCGAAATAAATTTAAAAAAAAATTTTAGGTAGGGTAAATTTTTTAAAAAATTTTTGGGGTAGATTAAAACTTTTTTAAAATTATTATTGTTTTACCCTTCAAAATCCAAAAAACGTACTTTGTGAAATATTGCCAGTGACAAAATGACTATACTGCTTGCTAACCAACGGTCCAGCTTTGAAGAACCCGCCCGTGGTGAAGCCCAGAAGCCCAGCTGAAGCTCCAAACAATAACAACATAAAGTTGTGCTGATCAGAAGGCCAGAACGCCAATACTGACAACAGTAACGCTCCTCCAAAGAACGCTACAGAGTTGTACAGCCTCAACTTGTTCGTCTCATTCAAACATCGTATCTTATCACTGGTAACTCCAGCGGTCAGTTTGATCAAGAACTGAGCCAATGGTGCCAAAGCTGATGAGATGCCAGTACTATGCACTGGGAATCCGAGAACTTTTGACATGTAGGTGGGGGAGTAGAGGAACATCATGTTGACACAGACAAAGTTGCCAATGCCACCGATCCACACCGCCCAAACGGCAGGGGTTTTGAGGATCTGGAGGTAGGGAATGGCACGGAGCTCTTTTTTGGTTTGATTCGACTTGAACTTCTTGACTTTGTTCAGCTCGGTGTCTCCAACGAAGGGGTGTTTTTCTGAAAAATTTGGATTTTTTAAAAATAGTATAGCTTGTTTTTTGGGTTATAACAAGTTCAACTTTTGAAAAAAAAATATTGGAACTGGGGGGGGGGTTGGATTTTTTTTGGAACAGGGAGGGGGTGAAACCTTTTTTTCAATTTTTTAAATACACAGCTCAAGTAAAAAGGAAAAAAAATTCTTTTTTTGCTCCTTTCTTCTCCCCCCCCTCTCCCCCCCCCCTCCTCTTGCAAAAAATCACCCGCCTTACTCCTAGGCAATACCCTATTACCGACAAAGCCATGTACCCTAACTTACCAGGACTATTCCTATAAAAAACACCAAAGAGTACAAACAGTATTGCACTGACAATGGCATGAGCATAGAATACTGAAGGCCATTTCATCGAACTCTCACACAACGCTCCACTAATGGGCATGGTAAGCGCTGGTGACAGTTGGACATAAGCTACCAAAGATGACACGACAAGACCGTTCTGCTTGTAGTATGTCCATTTGGAAGTGAAGGCGCCGATCACTGGGAAATTAGCGGAAAATGCAATTCCTTGAAGACCACGAAGTACTAGGGTGTAGTAGTAGCCATTTGATATAGCTAGTGGCAAGAGGGCGGTGGAGGCGGCGGAGAGTAGGCCTAGGATGGTGAAGAGGGTGCGTATTCCGAAGCGGTTGACCTGAAATTTAATTTTTTTTATATTAAGATAGGGACAAAGGTAGAGCAAAAATAGAACACATCCACCTCAAGGATAAGGCAAAATATGGTAAGGGCAGAAGGCGGGGAAAGACAGCGCACGGCAGGACAGGGCAGGGTAGGGTAGGGTAAAAAACATAGGTAACTCACCAACTGCACAACAATAAAATTGGCGACAAAAGCTGTCGCAGCAACAATAGAAGTTAAGAACGATCGTTGATTGGGCGTGAACACGGCTTCATCTTCTTCTCCTTCAGGCGCATCATTAAAGCAAACTAAAGCGAAGTTAAATGCCAATATATTCGACCAAACTGAAGCCAAACATAGCAAGACATTAACCATGATCAAAAACCTTGTTCTCGTGTTGAAAACTTTGAAGAATTTGCATCCTGGTTCAACTTTGTCTGTTGAGGCTTCTGAAGACACGTAGGTCCGAAAGTCCTCGGATTTTGGTGCATCTGGTGCTATTATTCGGGCTGGGATGTCAGCTCCAACGTATATCCTGGTCATGGCTGAAAGTTTAGGTATATAGTGAAGTTCATTGACTGATAAAAGGTCTTTACATCACCGCGTCGAAGGTATCACACTGAATTTATCAAAAATATCAAAAAATATCGAAATTTTAAAAATTAAAAAAAATTTTATAAATTTTTATAATTTAAATCAAAAAATGTCATTTAAATCTTTATATATAACTTAAAAACCAGTTTTACAGTACCCAAAAAAACCTAACAATAAGTCAGACATACAAAGTAAAGTAACAAAAGTTGAAAGTGATTTACAAGGAATTTTGATGTGATTCGAACCAAAACTTCAAATAATATGTGAAAAGTCATAAAATATCACAATAAAACTTTACACGACTTGTAAAATAAGTGTTCTTTTTGGATTTTGATTTCGAAAAGGTTGTCATTTGATTTTGACAAAAAATGACAACTTTTGAAGATCATTGCACTGTGCAAAAACAAGATTTTTTTGCAAAAATTTTGTTATAAAAAAAGCATCAATTTGACTACCGTAAGTACATTTTATCAACTATTACCGAGTAAAACACTCAATATTAATATATGTAACCTTTGTTTACAAATCTTTTTTGAAAAATTGAAGAAGGGGCGGTACCGTTCTCAAAAATACATAAACAAATATAATTTCGAACAGTTCATAGTTTAGGTTTTATAATTTTTTCTGTATTAAAGTTATCTTTTTAGCAACTCTATTGTAGCTTAAGGTTAGGCTACAAAACAAAGCTCAAGAACCTTGCGCATTAGCAGTGTCACCTACTCTGACTTGGCCATGATAATAATAATGTATTTGCTTTTCCTTTTTTAACCTTATTTTTATGATAAACGCAAATAAATGAAACGTGTTACCTTTACTACTACTTTTACCCCTACCTCTGATTACAACCCTAAAGACACCCCATAAAAATTTTTCAATTGTATACCTCCTACAAACAAAAAATTTTTTACCCTTCCCACAAAGTCTGCCTAGTTCATGCAGTATAATATCTTTCCAAAAGGTTTCAAAAACTACGAACAGTACTTTCCTTCATGTGAAACAAAATGAAGAAAGTGTGATAAAAAACCGGAACCCAGAGAAAAATAATCAGTAAAAATTACAAAAATAGACGCATAGTTAAACATGTGTTATCGCAGACATTAGAGAACTACTTTAAACATGGTCGTATTGATAGTAATATGAAACACTAAATATTTAGAGTATAATGTTGGATTGTCGGCTTCAAGACTGAGGTACAAGCAAGGTTGACAGCAGGGCACAGAACTAAAAAGCCCTGTACCGGCCACGACGTTGCAGGGCACATAACAGTATATTTTAATATACTTTTAAGCAACTTACAAAGAAAGTACCCAACCTCCCAGTTCAGAATCATCTCAAAATTTTTGTATGAATTTTTTGTACAAATAATAGTATCTATCAAAAATTTTAGCTCGCGCTTTCGAGTTTTAAAATTTAAATCTTTGAAATGTCCGCTAATTTGACAATTTTGACATTGTGTTTCAAACACTTTTCTTTCGACTTCTCAGGCAAGCTACGTCTACATATTTAAAAATGTACGTCCATTTAAAGGTATACTCATCTAGTATATTGAAAAAAAATGATTAAAAGTCATAAATTAACTAAGCTATAAGCTGGAAACACAACACCAATTTGACGGAAATTTCTAAACTCAACTTTATGATATTGATTTTCTGAGATTGGGTAGAAAGCGTGATTTGGTACTTTGCTGAAGATTTTATAGTTACATGATCTTTTTACAGAAGAAGTTTCAAGTCAATCAAAGCGGGGCGGGTCGGTTACTTTCCTTGTTAAAATAATATATTAAGTTGTACTAACAACTCTGCGACCTGTAATACCTAAAAATTTTCTTTGAAGAAGGGCAAGATTTATTTGAACAACATAATATTAATGTTTTAATTTTATATAATCACAGTAGTTACAACCCAAAATTTTTATTTTTTTTAAATTTTACCCACCGTCTTTCTTTTTTTAATAAAAAAATTTTATTTCATTTACCCGACCTTCAAATCCTTATCTTCTCCATTGTCCTATTAACCCCCACCACCCTCTAATTACCCTTTAACCCCAACTGTGAGCTGTCGCGTAATCAAGAGGTAGCGCTTACTTAAACACGGAATTGATCCCATGAACAATGTGCGGATTACCCACGCCTAGAATAACAGCGGAACAAACATGAACGTGATCATTGTCGCCATGATATGACAAATATTTGCGCCCATAAACGGCAACCGTCTTGTAACTGTGGGAATTTATAGCGATATCAAAGTAAAAATTTAAAAACAAATTTTGAAATTTTAAAAATTTTGTTTATAAATAGCTATTGTACTCAATAAAAGGCAACTGTTTGTTAAATAGTAACGTTGTTGATACATAAAAGTTAATTTTGGAAATAGTAAATAATAATATAGTTGAAAACAATTTTTTTTTCAATTTAAAACGTTTACGAATTTGTTGATATAAACTAGCATTAATAAACCCCAGCCCTAACCCAACTCTTAGCTTCAGCTCCTCAAACTTTAGTTTTAGTCCTATCCCTCGCCCAACTCTTAGTTTTAACCCTCGCCCTGGCTATAGCTTAAGTCTTAGTTTTAGTCCTATCTAGAGGCGGCCGCAAGAGAGAGGGGGGGGGGGGGGGAGAAAAGAGAAAGAAAAAAACAATTTAGAAAAAAGTTTAACGTAATCCTTCCAATGGTTTTAAAAATGGTAATGGGGGGAGAGGGATTTACGAATCGGTGAATCTAGAAATGAGAAACGGGCCAGGCCCAATTTTCAGGCCCGGCCCGTTTCTCATGTCTAACCCCCCCCCTCCCAAAACTCGGCCTCTCGTCTAGCTTTTATTAGGCCTGACCTTCAACCCTATCCCATTTATTTATTAGGCCTGATCCTCAACCCTATCCCATTTTATCCTTCAAATACCATTACCCAGTCTTTGCTCAACACTTGATCTACCCTTTCCTTACTCCTGCCCTACGCGTGCCATTTTCTTGTCGTCCTACTGTTAAATTCGATAAACTGACCTCTTCAACCTATACCTATAAAGCACTGCCATTCTATAAAAACACAATAACAACCACAAAAAACGCTGACTAGAACTTTTACTGCAGTTTAAGGTGTAATAACAATTACTGATCTATAAAATAAGTTAGCTGACCATAAAATCTTTGAAAGAGTTCGTTTTAAACTTTCATCTTTCATCAATAACAAGACGTTTCATTATCGAACACGTTCTATTAACAATATTGTCGGCTCGCCTCTTTCACAACTTGTCATATGTCGTCTCGGCGGTGTATGACTTTCTTTATAGAAAAAAATGGCAAAAACTTTTCTTACAGGGTAGGAAAGGGCAATAACTTCCTTTACAAAACAGGAAATCGCAAAAACTTTCTTTACAAAGCATAAAATGGCAAGAACTTTCTTTACGATACAAAAAATAGCAAAAACTTTTTTTACAAAACAAGAATTGGCAAGAACGTTCGTTACAATACATAAAATGACAAAAACTTTCTTTACAAACCCTCACGACAAAAATATTGCCCGTCGTCTAACTTGTCACCCAACGCCTACAAAACCAAGTCTATAAGTACCTACCCACAGCTAAACCCATAAATTTGGAAAAATGACAAATTATGTCATCACCGCTTACTTTTTATATTGTTTTAGAGCCGCCGTTTTACAAACCCGGAACAACATGAGTAAGCTCACACTCTGACCCCTTTCCATACACACATGATTGAACATAACTCTGATCTCTATCCTAATTGTATTGCGCAAAAAACACCCAAATCCGCCTGTGCCAAAAACTTTTTTAATCGCTCAGATGTTTATGACAAAAAACATATAAACATGGTAGAATCTTATGAAAACATCGTATATTTACAGTATTTTGTAGGTAGGAATAGGGTTAACGCTAAAGCTAGGGCTAGGACCAAAGCTAAGGCTAGGGTTAGCAAAACAACTAGTGACCTTCTGCAAAGCCGTCCAGACTAATCACGCTAGTTAATGTACCCATATTATACTCAAGAACAACATGTTGACAAAGATTTAACAGTTTCATAGAAATTTAACAGTTCCGCCTTCTTGTGCTGATCTTTTTGTTATGACCATCCCCTATTTTCTGTATAAAATAATGTGTTTTGTCACTGCTTTTTCGCTGTCGTCTCCAACAATTTAATTAATATTTTTAGTCATCTTTTTTTTGTCTGTCTAGACTCGTCTTTATTGTAGGTTTAAAATTGTTAAATTTTTCATGTTGTAGTTTGTTTAAAAGTTGCGTAGTTATGATATGTTGCTTAGTCACCGTACTTTATCCTACGATACCCTATCATAAATTACCCTACTGCTGTCAAGTTGTGCCTTATTGTTAGTTCATGTGTTTATTCAGGTCAAGTAGATAGTAATATTGGAGATAAAGTCATTTATTTTCCATTAAATAAGACAACAAATAATGTAAACGACAGTACTTTAGGGCAGTTTGTATTGAATAAATTGGCCAAACCATCAAATTGACACTGAACTGTCATTTCTCCAAAAGGGCAATTTAGCTACATTGTCCGCCATATAAATCCATTTTTATTTCAACGCAAGTTGTGTCCGCCAGAGCCGAATAAAGATAGTGAAATGCGGATTTTCGAATTTAACCCTACGTTCTGGTTTCCACGGTTATACAACCTAAAATGCCAGAGTAGGGTTAGTGCAAAGTGGGCCGTCGGTGATATTGGAAAGAAGATGGAGTTGGATTCAATACAATAGTAGTAGTTAGGTTGAAAGTCGTGACGATGGCTCATACCAATTCCAAAACTCCATTTTGGATTTTAGCTATGTATAGAATTTGCAATAACGTTTGTTGGGGCAATGCGGTTAATATGGATCGGGTCCGTTCAAGATATCTTACCCTACTCTAGATTGCTCTACCCTACTCTACCTTCTTCAACTCTGTCCTATTCTTCTTCCTTCTACACTTCTCTACCTTCCATTATTATCTTTCGCATGCCTTTGACAAAAAAACTACTAACGTCAATCTCTGTTCAAATCCTTCACAAACTACAAGTAAGCTTTACACTCTTCTACCGTAGCCGTACCACTCTAAACCGAAGTTCAAACACAAATCCGTTAAATTTCAAAGTTTGCTCGAACACAGATCAACGACCTCCATTGTTAATAACGCACAGTTCAATTCCAGTTACAATACACACTGTTTTCATCGCAATTTCAATGCACACCGGTCCTCAAATCCCCTTTTCAAACAGTCCCCCCAATTGTCATGTTATCCATGACATAACCGTTTGTATGACCTTGTGTAAACTTTGGCCCTTCGTCTCTAAACTTTGACAAATAACGGACGGTGCATGTTGACAAGAAAGTTGATCTTTCGGCTTGCGAAATAAGAGTTACAATAAAATTTTATTGTTCGACAGACCATTCTTACATTACCGTATATCGAAGGAAACAGTAAATATAGTAAAGGCATGTCAAACAATTTATAAATAAACAAACCATGCAAAGATCAATGTAAACTACTTCTAAAGGACCACCAAGGATCAAGATTGACATATTTGATTTTTTTTTATTTTTACTTTTGGCGCCAAATTTAAATTTGAATTTCCAAAATTGCAAAATTAAAGTTGAAATCCTTCAAGATTTTTAACCATTATATGAACAAGTTAAAACTATTGTTTTAGTTATTCTAAGCAATATATATTGAGCACAGTAATTGTGAGCATTAACCTACAGCATCAAAACAATATTTCGTCATTAAATCACAATTATTTTGAAATTCGTTTAATTTTTAAATACAAATTAACTAAAAATTTAAAACCAGGAGTTTAAAATGCTCGTATTTTACATTTCAACTGATAAACTATCAAAACCTAACTGTGAAAACTACAATGAACAATATCAGTGCAACACGTGACCCAAAAAGCCGAAACTTGACGTATTTTTTATAAAATCCAGAATTAATGAAACAAAATTTTGTTCTTGATCGAAATGCTCCTTCACCGAGTAATTTCACGTGCTCTGATATGTAATGCACGTTGTTCATCAACACATTTTGGATTTGAAAAGGTACCAGAGGAAGAAAAAGCTAATCGAGGTCAGTTTCCTTTGTTTTTCTTCGAATTTTAGGCAAAAACTGATGTTTGAATGTTCTTTTGGCTAAAAATCGCCGTGTCCAAGGGATTTTTGATTGAATTTTGGTATCATATGATAGTTAAGATTTCTTTTATGGTGTTGTTTTAGTTCACACTGTGTTTGTGAATGTGGCAGAGAAGTATGATCTGATGAACGATGCGATGAGCGTTGGAATCCATCGACTTTGGAAAGATTACTTTGTGAATCAACTAGATGTTCGAAAAGACTGGAGGGTGGTTGATGTAGCTGGGGGAACAGGCGATATTGCTTTTAGAATTGCAAGAAAAATGGCCGCGACACCTGGAAGCAAAGGGGATATTGTTGTATGCGATATTAATCAGGTAAGTCTATTTTGAGTTTGAAGTGGGTAATATAGGGAGTTTTTTGGAGATTTTTGAATCAGGTTGTTTGGAAAATTGTAAAATACGTTTTTAGAGACGTTTGTTTAAGCAACTATACTATATTGTACATTATAAATTACAGAAAATGCTTGACGTTGGTCAATTCCGAGCAGAAAAAGACAAAACCTTGCCAAACAAGTTCTCCTGGGTTTGTGGAGATGCAGAAAAGTTACAATTTGAAGACAATTTTTTTGATCTTTACACGATTGCTTTTGGAATTAGGAATGTAACACATGTGGACAAGGCATTAGAAGAAGCGTATCGAGTTCTGAAGCCAGGAGGACGGTTCTTTTGTCTAGAATTCAGTAAAGTTCATGCTCCATTGAGACCATTTTATGACTTGTACAGTTTTAATGTGATTCCAAGGATGGGACAGCTATTGGCTAATGACTATGACAGCTACAAGTATTTGGTTGAGAGTATTAGGATGTTTCCGGATCAGGTTGGTTTGTGATTCATTAAGATTTTTATTGTTTTAGGTAATAATACGTAGATCTCGAATTTGAGCTCGAAGTATAAGATGGAAAATCAAAAGGGCTTATGATATTATAGTAGTTTAGGCGACAATATATGATTTTCTATGGCGTTAAAGGTAACTTAATGATTTTTTTTCAGGAAAAGTTCAGTGAAATGATACGAACAGCCGGCTTCAAAGATATTACCTACCAAAACTTGTCGTTCGGAGTATGTGCCATTCATTCCGGGCGAAAGTAGATTGTTATGTTATTGTTGATTATTGTTTAGGAATAAATTTGTTGTAAAATACGTGGTGGTCTCTTTGTTGTTTCAAGTTTGGGCTTTGAAATATTTTAAAATCATTTTAATTATAGTTTTTCTTGTAAAGAAAGTTCTTACTGTTTTAAGCGCTGTTGTTTACGTTTTTTTGATTATTTTATTAAAAGTAACGTTACATGCTAATTTTATATAATCTTGTTTTAAATTAGGTATGTTGTTGCTTCAACGGCCGTTCCTGAATACTCTATGTAGAAGTAGATGGTATTCTTCAGCTGCACCAAGCCTGATAGAGCTGGGAACCCTAAGTGGGCCAAGAAATGACGAAAGGTACCCTGCCGGACAGGTAAATTACTTTTTTGAGGAAAAAATGAAGGTTGTTACCTAAATTTGTGGTTTTTTCTTAAATAGGCATAAAGGTTTTAATAGTTATAGGTTGTTTTATAATTATAGGTTTTTTATAGATACTACAATATCGATATGAATAAAAATGATATTTTAGGTATTTCTACATCGAGTATTTGCCTACCGTGGTGTTGTCGTATGTTCGTTTGATTGTAAAGTCTATGGGAAGCATAAACCGTAAGATTTTACTAGTTGTTCATATAAAAATGGTCTATAAGACGAATTTTAAATTTGGAGAATCAAAAAAAATTTAAAAAATAAAATTTTTAACTTTTAAAACTTTCAAAAACCTCATTTTAGTAACGAAAGTGCCTCAAAATACGAAATCGTGCCATACTATCAAGTGTTGATCCACAAAGGTGATTGGGAACATATGAGAATGCCCTTTGACCTCACCGTATACTTATCTGAGAGTGCTGGTAGAGAAGGTAGATCACTTGGAGTGATCGGAGGTATGGACTGTGTACCACACAATGATATATTGCCATTGGAGTACAAGACCAACAAGGACACAGCTCCTATTGAGCATGACCTTTTCGACCGGTTGTTCAAGTTTGTTGATCCGAATCGACCAGGTAGGGTAATAAAATAGGTAATAAGCCAAATAGCAGCATAAAAAGAAGGTTGCTTAAATAATTCCTTTACAATAACTATATCATATTACAATAAAATTTTAGAGCTAGGCTATGTCAATACCCACGACATCCCCTCCCAACGCTCATGGATGGCCCCTCAGGCTACGCACGTCGAAACAACTAACAATGTTCGAGTAACGGCAACCACCTTTTATCTAGGACAAAACGCGACTAATGGCCAAATCAAACATTGCTGGAGATACATGGTCAGACTGGAGAATCTGGATGGAACTGATATGATCCTGAGGGAACGATTGATCAAAGTTTTCTCTTTGAATAACTTGTCACAGCTTAACGCCGGCGGCGTTGTTGGAGAGGTAGGAAGATTAATGGGGAGGATGATTTTGTAATTGAGTTTTAGGTATACGTAAAACTATAAATTAAAATTTTAGTGTATTCATATTAGGTTGTTCGAATAATCTGTGCCTCCTCTCAAATCCAAATATGGGTGGGGTTTGGGGGCACGGAATTATTTGAGCAATCTAAAAGATAGTTATAAATTTTGATTTTCTGAGTTTACGGTAAAGTGTTACGGTTAGATATTTTACATTCAGGTATTATAATAGGTCTTGTCCACCAATAAAAGGGTTGATATAATTTTTTAAAACTTCGAAAACTTTTTTGAGGAAAAGTTAGTTAGGATCATATTGTTGGACTTCATAACGTGTAAGGTTTTATTTTTAGTATCCTCGATTAACCAGCACTGATCCAGCTTATCAATTCAGCAGCACGGTTCAATTGGCCCAGAAGAAAGGCGGTCATTTGTGGTGGGTTTTTTTAAAACTATTAACTAAAATCAATCAAAAGAGAAGATTTTAATACGTTTAGATCACACCCCGTATTTTACAAAATTTGGAAAAATTTTGTGTTTCGTAAGTCCAATATACTAATTTTGGACTAACTTTTTAAATTGTTAAATCAACGGGTCAAGTATAAACGTTTGGGCTCTCTTTTGTCATTTAAATAGGTTTTAAAAAAATTAGGTCAAGAAGTCAATAGAAAAATGAAATATATGCCTTATTAATGATGATGAGCTCGTGCCATACCAATAGTGCTAATTTGGTGTAAAATATGTGATATTATGTTAGCTTCGGGCATTTTTTAATATAATTTTAAACTAAAATCATACTTTTAGGGGCAAATTTAAGCTAGAAAAGGACGACGGTACCACAATTGAGGTGAACATGCCAACACTGCTACTGGAATCCAATTCACCACAAAACTCACACAACAATGAAGTCGTTCAATGATAGGTGAATTCCTACTGTATTTATATTGTTATTAGAAAAATAGATAAAAAGTTTATGTATTATAGGTATTGTACTTTAAAATTTTATTTATTAAGGATACTGTACTTTTTGGAGCATAAGTGGTACGAAAAATGGTTGTCTGGGCTTTTGTGGTCCTAAAAAGACTGAGTAGTATAGAGTTGGTACTGAAACAAAAAATATGGTACCCTACTAATCAAACCAGTGGTACCTTTCGGCCAATTTTTCGTTTTTTAAGCTATTTCTCTTAAAACTTGACCTAACTCAATATCAAATAACAAAAAAATAACCCCAAAACCCTACTACAAAATAATATTTTTATTTACATCGTATGATATAACAGATATTTCACTCAATGAATACATTATGATACCTATATATGTTTGATGGAGCCTTTGGGGCTCATTAAAGGGTCTTCTGGTACCTGTGGATCCGAACATAGACTAGCGCTGCTTGACTTTGAGTGTGGCACGGCGAGGACCGAGCCGGGAGTGAGGGCGCGGTGATTTTTGACTGGATTTGGTGATAGGGGGATGGCTTTCTCGTCGTTGGCCGACTGGCCGCCGAAGAGCTCGGCGATGAGATTCAGTTTGAATTGGCGGGAACGTTTTCGGCCCTGAAAAGGCGTTTTGTAAAAATTTCGAACTTTAATGAAAATAAAGATAAAATTCCTTAATGCGCCATTCTTTTTGCATCAAGCTTTAACAAAATAGAAAAAAATAATTAGGAGAGCAAATTTTAGATAAGTCTCTCTCTAAAAAATGGCTCATCCAGGGGATGAGCCATTTTTTAGGGCCGGTCCAACTTTTAAGCCCGGCTCGTGTCAACTTTAGCTCAGGGACAGCCCGGTAGTGAAGGCCTGCCCTTTCTCACCCTTAATGGATCAAGCGTATTTTACCTTTCCCAGCCGTTGCTTCGCGGCCATACACCTGATATGATCGTCGAAGACTAGTTTGGCACTGAATTGTGGTTGAGATTTGGCTTTGACCCGTGATTTCACGTCCTCTACAACGACGTGCAAGGCTCTGCTGTCGTTCTGATCACCCGTAACGTGCGTGTCCTGAAATTTTTAATTCAATGAACTTTTTTCCTCAAAACTCTTCTTAACACCTATAAATTCAAATTTGTTACCTAAAAATCAAAAAATTTTCCAAAATATTTTTATCACCTAATAATTCAAATTTGTTATCTAAAAATCAACTTTTTTTTCAAAACCTTTTTATTACCTAAAACTTCAATTTTGTTACCTAAAAATCAAAAAATCCTTAAAAACCTTTTATTGCCTAAAAATTCAAATTTGTTACCTAAAAAATCCGAAAGTCAAAATTTCAAAATCATATTTTTGTCATGAATAATATAAATTTAGAGTAAAAACAAAGAAAAACTTGCCTGCAACAATCCCGCAAAGCAAACCACGGCCCACCCCAGTTTTCGGCTGTCAGGTTCGACCAGAATCAGTTGAAATTGGTCGGTCACCAAAAACCGAGGATGTTCTTCGTTGTTCTGAAAGACAGTGCAGGCCAGAAGGTCACTGTTATCTAAAAATAAATTCTTGATTTGAAAATTTTGTAAAATACGCGAGCTTTTCAATTGCTTAAAAATTGCTTTTTCAAGTACCTTAAGCGTTGTTTTATTCAAAACTATTACACAAGGCCCAAAGAAATTAAAGAAAAAAAACTCACTTAAGTTGATACAATCATTGATTTCGGCCAGAGTTCGAACCTTGGACGACAGAGGTAATATGGGTTCCGGGAGGCTTTGGAGGTCCAAGGAGAATTTGCGTAAGATAAAGTAGAATTGTAGGCTCTGAAAGTAAAAAAACCAAATTTATTGTACAATCCCCCCCCCCTTTGCGAAGTCCTATGAAGTTCCTCAAACCTCAAAATCAACCCTTACCCTCCTAATCTTCTCATCATTTCCACAAGGCGCCCTTTGACTTAACGGTACATTACTAACAGCACTAGTACTCGGTGGTAAATAAAGTGCCGGCTCTGATGCCAAATTATTGATTCGTATTGTTGTTGACTCAAATCGGTAGTGTTCTTCCTCGAACATTTCCAAGTACATTTCGTTATCAACATCGCGGAGTTTGGCTCCGAGTTGTGTCAAAATGTCATCAATATTGGCCTCAATTTCTCTGTGGAACTCATCATCGGCTTCTAGGGCCAGTACCAGGCCTCGTAGTACGATACAACATAGGTCGATGGTTACTGAGCGGAGAGGGGTGTCTGGAAAGTAATACTTTACCAAAATTTTCAAATTCGGTTTTAAATTCATATCAAAAATGGCATTTTTAGACAAAAGCTCGATTTTTTTCAATTTTTTGAAACTTTTCGAGTTAAAAAATAAAATATTAGATTGTTAAAATAACTATGTGTCCCCTAATCCTGCAAATTTGCTTGGAAAGGAAGCACAGAATTATTTGAACAGTCTAATATTTAAAATTTTAGCTTAAAAAAGTAAAAATTTTAAATTTTAAAATCAAAAATAGTGTAAAAAGTCAAGATAAGCATTAATTTCATACCTTTTACAACACACTTGCGTAGAACTTTCAACAAATGCGAAGCCAATAATGGATCACAACGTGCACTTTTCTTTTCCAACGGAATCTGAGCCGCCTCCAATATATCTTGACTTACTCCTGGATGAAAAATAATGTAAAATACGGTTCGGTTCGCCTTGCCCCGGCATGAAAAAAAACTTTTAAAAGTGATTTTATGTTTTTATTCCTCTTATCAAATTTTGGTTGAAAAGCTAAAAATTCGAAAAAAAAATAAAAATGACCTTTGAACCCACAAAAACCATCTTATTTTTGGCAATATAACCCTCAGAAACACCAAAAAACCAATACAACATCACCAAAATCAACTACAACATCACCAAGACAATATTAATAAGCAAACACTGTACGACACTCTTACCGTACCTTTGCTGGCGGTTGAGTATAGATATACATCTGTATTATAAGTTAAAATCAGTTATAGTATGTTTGACTTACCTCTGTTCTGACAAATCGTATAGATCAATAGCAAGGCATAGAAGGTACAGTGATCGTCGTTCTGTTCTACTAGAGAGCTCAGATGGGCGTAGAAGAAGACTCTGGAAGGAAAAATGTTTAGAAATTAGAAAAATAAATTTTCTGTTATTTTTTCAAATTTTAAAAAATTTCAAAAAATTTTTTTGAAATTCCAAAATTTTTAAATTCCTACCGCTCTTCCGGGTCGTCAGTCAAGTTTCTCAAATCCAAAAACAATCCCTTCTCCACGGATCGATTCCACAGTGATCTGACATCATTTTCGTCGCCAAAGAACAAAGACGTTAGTACTGATTGTACTATATCAGGCGAATGAATGATAAGAAACAGCTGATTTAACAGGAAAAGTGAACTGACTTTAGACAACAATATAGTATTACTAGTGTCTCGTAGCGAAGCCAAGGATGCCATATACAATGGGCCTACTACGAAGTACATTATGCTGTTGATTAGCAAGGAATTCTAAAAAAGATATTTTTTAGGTAACAATTTTTTGATTTGTCCTGATTTTTCATATAAAATTGAATTTACTCTTCTTCTATTTTACCTACAAACATTAAAAAAAACCTACAACGTATTTTACCTTTAAAAATTTTAAATAACAGTATAGACATTAATAACCTAATGCAGAATATTAACCTACCAACTCCTCCTTTTGTATCATAAGAACATCATTAATGTAATGTATGTTATCTAGATGATTGTCAATCATTGTCATCAGCCGATCACGATTCGTGGCTTCATTTAAAGCCGAGCGAGCAAAAGTGTCCATTTCAATGATTTGTTTGGCCACAATCTTGGCCAACTTTCCAAAATAATCTTGAGCTCGGCTGGTGACGAATTTCATCATAGATGGATCATCTACCTAAAATACGTTTTACAATGTGTTTCATCACCATATATAATACCAGTAGACGTTTTAAAAAAATATTTTAAAATTTTAGGTAATAAAAATTTCTAAACTTTTTATCATAAGATAATACTGATAAAAAAGCCAAAACTTACCCTAAACACGTTCAAAGTCAAAGTTCTAACAGCAATCCGTGCCATACTCTCTGGATGATCATAGAACTTCAGTGCTTCAGTAAATAAAGGGAATTCATGCGTTGACTAAAGGTCAATAACATCATTATCATACGAAACCTTTAAAATTTAAAACTCACTTCATTGAAGAAAAAATGTACAGTATTGGGATTCAATTTGAAAGACAATGCTTTGAGGAACGACACATAATAGGATAAAACTTCTTCATTGCGAAAGTCGAATTGATGAGTTAGTATGTGGTTTACATGATTGTTACTCAGTAAATAATCTGAAATATAGTTCGAATTTGTGATGAAAAAATAGGAAAATTAAGTATTCGTAACTGTGACAAAGAAGATTAGCAAAAACCCTTCATTATTAGCCATTAAAACATTAACTTTAACTTACACAAGGCAGTTTCATTGCGAATGTTTTCAAACAAAATATTCAATGTCTGTAGCAATTGAACGTTGACATAATTACTCGTACTCTGTCTTACAATACCCACAAAATGCGTAAACATTTGTTTTTCCAAGAAGAAACTAAAATTCATAACAATAAACCAATATTACACTTACTCGAATATCGTGCTGTCATTTTGATCTCCCCAAATCAGAATCTCAGTGCAAAGTCTAACCGCTTCAACCAAAACAGCCTTGTTTCCTTCCGTGATCTTCTCATGCTTCACCAACACTCCGTGAAGGTATCTAAATCGATAAAAACAACAACAAACACTGCCTTACTTTAGATATTCGACCGTAAAAACATTTTTAGCTCTCCACAAACTTGAACTCCCATGTCCAAAGCGGCGAAACATCAAGTATTATAGGTTGGCCAATGTCGTCCACTTAATGCATCTGCCAATTATTTATAAAAATGGCTCAAAGTGTAAGAACTTTATCAATTCGCAAGATTATTATGGACGCAGTGGACTGAAAGCGCGAGCTGCGAAAAAATAGGCGCGGCTGAAAAGAGCGCAGTCTGCGAAAAAATGGGCGCAGGACGGGTTTAAATTTTACAGGATTTTGGAATCAAAAGGTTTTAAAAAGAGAAAAGGGCCAAATTTGTGGTGGGATGTCCACCTATCACTTGGCCCAAGTCATCTATGGCCAAACACAAAACCAGAAATGTGTTTTAACCGGGATTCGTTTTGATAACGTCTCGAAAACGGAGAAAGATGCGTTGATAAAGGAAACTGGCGAGCTTTACAACTCTAGAAACCTGAATGAACTAATTGTAAAGTCTCATATGGCTGGAAGGCACATGCAAGTATGTTTTTTTGTACATTTTTTTCATATTCAGGCTGTTCTTTTGAGGTAAAATGATCTTTTCAAATTGTTTTAGGACGTTGGTTTGATGGAGAGATGTGCTACGCTAATTGAAAAGACTCCAGGCCTAACGAACGGTTATAATGTCAGATTTATTGTCAAAGAGCCTAAGAAGGTGGTAGCTGGTGTGAAAATGGGTGTAACTTCAACAGGAACTGTGGATGGAAGTCTAACGGCATCTAAAGGGGTAAGTTAATATTATTTTTTCTTTTTTTATGTTTAGAGCCAACTTTAACTTTCTTCATTGGTATTATTATCACGATAAGAGCCTTTACAAAGTAAAAGAATTAAAATCAATTAAATTGTTAATTGATAAATATAATATAAGTTGCTTTAGAGCTTGTTGGGTCGAGGAGAAACGGCTGATGTATCATATTCGTCGACAATAAAGGGCTCTCATACTTTCACCTTAAATTTTATCAAACCGTGGTTAGGATGGCAAGTTTACAAGAATTCTGGAGTTTCGTTACGTCGAGTATTAGAAAGTTTACCTTGGAATCAGAGCAATTTGACTGAGAACGCGTTAGTTTTGCAACATGGGCAGGCTTTGATGAACAAAAAGTTGTATCACTTGCTCAAGCTTAACTTTGTAAGCTTTGCATGGTTTTTTGAGAGGGATAAAATAACTGTAGAGATTTTATATTGTATTTTTTTAACTTTAGTTGTAGAAGTTCAGAATCCTTGTTTAACTCAATTTATACTTTTTTTAGGCCTGGAGAACACTGTTACCGACGGAAAAATCAGCATTTTCAATAAGAGAACATGCGGGACATACGACCAAGATCTCAGTAGAAAACGTATTGCAATTTGATAACCGTGACAGACCGATACTGCCGAGTACGGGTGCTACAGTACGATTGATGAACGAAATTGCATCATTTTTGGGAGATTCTAGCTTTTTCCGAAGCGAATTGTTATTACAGGTAGGTATTGGTGTTTGGGCGGTGAATGCGGCAATGTGGAGGGTGTGGTGAATTTATTTGCTAAAAAATTGAAATTTAAAAAAAAATGGAGTTTCAAAGAATCTTGAGAAATAGGGCGCAGAATTAAATGAACGACAAAATAATTATTTAAATTAACTTATAGGCAGCAACTAAGCTTCCACTAGGCTGTTTCTTATCAGGATCGATAAACCTTCAAGCAGTGCAGAATATTGGCAACAGGACACTTCATGTTCTGGATAGGGTCTACTTAGGAGGTTCACAAGATGTTCGAGGCTTTGAAATCAACTCAATCGGTCCAAGGTCGGACAATTCGGTGTTGGGTGGCACTGCTGCAGCTGCTTTTGGAGCTCATCTTTTCTTGCCATTGTATCCAAAAGATGTGGTAAGATCAATTTTTACGATTTTTAGGGGCGGGAGGAGGGGAGGGGAAGGAAATGACTATTTTTTGATTTGTAAAGAAATTTCTTGCCATTTTTTGCTTTGTAACGAAAATTCTTGCCATTTTTTGTTTTGTAAAGAAAGTTCTTGCAATTTTTAAAAATAACTCAAAAATTTTCAGTTCTACGCCCACGCCTTCACCACCGGAGGTACAGTAGCAGCAGTACGGTCGCGAGAATGGATATCGGATATGAGTGAGACGATGCGAGTGACAGCCGGTTTGGGTATCACCGCCGTACTGAAGAACGTTATTCGATTTGAGTTGTCATACGTAGTACCATTGGCACATGTCGGCGGAGATCGTTGCGAATCTGGCGTCTATTTCGGTGCAGGCACCAGTTTCCTTTAGGCAATTTTTCCATAGTTTTGTATAGTCTAATAAACAGCTTGTTAATTTTAGAGGTTGGCTTTATTTTTGATGGAAATGAGGGTTGAGCTGGTTTATACCAAGTGTATTTTTGATTGTTTTGGGTTATAACAAGTGTATATTTATCGTGGAAGATTTGGTGGTTTATATTAAGTTTGTGTATCTAAAAAATCACATTTATAACCACTGTCTTTCATAAAACCTCCAAAATGGCAGCCAAGAAGTCGTTGGTCTTTGTCACCTCAAACATGAAAAAGTTGGCCGAAGTGAAGCAGATCTTGTCCTCCACCTTCGACGTCACTCACCACAAACTCGACCTTCTCGAAATTCAAGGCACCTACGAGGAAGTAGTCAAGGCCAAAGCGAAGCAGGCCTACGACCAATTGGGGATTCCGGTGATTGTGGAGGATACGTCACTCTGCTTCAAAGCCTTCAAAGGATTACCGGGCCCGTACATTAAGTACTTTTTGGAGAGTTTGGGCCCCGAGGGACTCCACAAAATGCTACACGCATTCGAGGACAAGAGTGCAAAAGCAGTGTGCATCTTTGCTTATTGTGAAGGAGCGGAAACGGAACCGATTGTCTTTGAAGGTAGGATAATATAGGGGTTATTGTGGCTTTGTGGGTGTGAGAACGTGATCATTGGTTAAGGGTTGAGGATAGATGTACTGGTACATCTGGTGTTTGATAATAGAGGTACTGTGAGTTTTGAAAAACGTTGTTTTGGTCTTCTATGACCTGGGCTGGCTTACAGATTCTCAAAATTAAGTAAAAACTAAAGATAAGGTATAGGAAAGCCAACATTTAAAAAAATGATAAGCTAATGAAAAACAGTGCTAACGATCAGCGAACTAGCCAAAAATTATACATTAGACCTTATCTTTAACTTGTAACTTCAGGCATCTGCGATGGCCAAATAGTATCACCAAGGTACAACACGGCCGAACCGTTTGGCTGGGACCCTTGTTTCGAACCTCTTGAACTGAAAAAGACTTTTGGAGAAATGTCACCGGAAGAAAAACACAAAATCAGCCATAGATCGAGAGCTTTAGCAAAACTTCAAGAATATTTTAGCTGATTTTTCGAAGATCTGTGATAAACAGAAGGGAGGGGTTTGGTTTTTGGAGAAACAGAGGAGAGGGGTTGTTTTTCAGAGGAGCAGAGGGAGCGGGTTCGGTTTAAGGGTGAAAAGTTTTGATTTTGAGCTTTAGCAGTGTTTGAATTGTTGATTTTTGGTATTTTTCACTTTGGTTATGGTTGTTGTTGATGTTATGAGATAAAGTTGAGTTTTTAACGAATTTTTCAAAACGTTCTCATTTATAAAAGCAAAACAAAAATTACGGATTTTACGCTTTAATGGGTTTCTGACACTTTTTTTAAAGGTTTTGATTCATGACGCTTTTAAGGGCTTTAGAAGTGATCTTGTCTTTAACATTGGAGCTTGGAACAAGGCTAGAGTTTTAATTTTAGAAATTGTTGGTTTTCAAATTGGGTTGGAGCTTGTTCCTTTAATTTACAGTGTTAAAAGCTTTGGAAATTAGCTGTGTTTTTTCTTTTGAGATAGGAATAAAAATTTAAAAATGTTCAAGCTTAGAGCGGAGCCGAAGCTATAAATTTTAAATTCAAAAACTGATATTGAAATAATGCGATATAACTTATTTTGTATTTTCATATATTGTACTATTACAATATGTGGTAGTTTTCTAAATTATAATTTTAATGTATAGGCTTAGCTCTCTAAAAAAGTCAATCAATCCGAAGCCTTGTTTAGATAACGGTTTAATAAATTAGAAACGCACCGGCGATTCGAAACAAAACAATGGAAAAGTGAATTCGTTTTTAAGGGAATGCTCGAAAAGTGTTCAGAAAACATAGACAACAGGTTGTGTGAAAGGCAAAAGACATACTCATACTTACAATAGAAATATTTGATGACTAAAAATGGCGATGGGCGGCTTTTCTCCATGTTTTTTGCATAACGTGGTAGTAGTGGAGTGTAATATAAAATGGTATCTTAATAAAATAGGATGGTACTATGTGGTAATGTTAGGGTAGAAGGGGTGGCGGTAGTATAAGATATAGTCCTGTATGGTATTTTTGGGATGCAATATAAAGTATAGTACTATATAGTATTGAATACACAGTACTTGGTACAGTACTTACTGCATCATACTTAACACAGTATTAGACACTATACTTTACATACTGTAGAGCGTTACAAAGTAAGGTAAAATTCAGTACTATAATATGGAACATACGATACTATATTGTAAATGAAAGATAGATATAGGTGTTTTGGTGGTACATAAATTTCCCAAAGTACTATATGTAAGCTAGAAAAGCAATAAGAGGTACCGTAATAGCAGAAAAAGATATTACAGTAGATAAAACTATGTATAATATACTAGGTATTACAGTATTAGTACGTATGCTAGTTATTATTATGCAGTAAGAGTACGTGTACTAATTAGTATCATACAGTAACAGCGCGTATACTAAATAGTATCCTGCAGTAACTGAACATATACTAAGTAGTATCATACAATAAAACTACGTATACTCTACCAAACACTACAGTAAGACACAAGATATTACACTAGATGACAAGCTACAAACATGTTGATGCAAAACTTCTTATAATTGGTCTTGTTCAAGGGCGGCGAGATCACGGTTCTTATTTTGTTCTTTTGTCTATTTACGGCCAGATGGAATGAAGTGGAAGTTGTCTCCACCCTGGGGTGAGGCCATGTATTCAGCTAGTGACAAACCGATGCTGGCTAAAAATTTTTTGGTAAAATACGCGGAGCTATTTAATTCCTTATAAAGCAAAAGCAAGCAAAAGGTTATCTAAGGTTACTAATAGGGATATTGTTAGGAAATTGAAAAATTGTTTTGGTCGATTTTTTTAAATTAAAGTTTATGATAAAAAGAAATATTCGAGCTACCCTACCTTATTACACACGGCTCTACTATCCTACCTTACATGATCCTAGCATACCGTGTTTTGCTTTTTTTTGCCCTACAGTACTGAACTTTGACCTATTCTACCCTACCTTACTCACCCTGCCCTAGCTTACTCTACTTTGCCCTACAATACTAAACTTTGGCCTATTCTACCCTACCTTACTCTACTCTATCTTACTCTACTCTGCCCTACTGAACCTTGGCCTACTCTACCACACCTTACTCTACCCTGTTTTACAGTACTGAATCGTGCCCTAACCTACATAACTTTACCCTATTTTACAGTACTGAACCTTAATCTACCTTATTTTATCATACCCAGGCTTGTCCTTGCAGTACTGAATTACTTTACTCAACCCTATTCTACTGTGTTTTACTCTAACTTATCTGTCACTAACTTACTATACCCTAGGTTACCTTACAGTAGTTCACTATATCTTATCTTCTTACCCTGTACTTATTATATTATGCTATAAAAATTTAAAAAAACTTTTACTCTATTTGTCCCCCTTTGACTGTACCCGCTAAAAAATAACCATTTTTATTATAATTTTGTGATAAAAATATATTTTTTGACCAAAAAATTACAAATAGAAAGTTGGAAGTAAGTGAACTAGCAAAGCGGACTGACTCTTGAACTCACGACTCCTCTTCGTCTTGGCCAAGGCACTGTAAGCACGTCCAATCAATTGTCGAGCGAATTCCGCGTCGAACTCCGATGGCTGAAACGATGATAAAGATAGATAGTAGACGGGACAAATAGGGTCTTCTCCCCCCCCCCTCCTTGTGCAAGTTAAAATCATATTTTAAGCTGTGCCTTTTTTTAATTTTTAAAAATCAATATTTGCACTTTGCTGAAATTTCATATTCAGTACCAAATAGTACTCAAAAAACCCCACTTCATAGTCAATATTACTCTACAACATTTATGGTGCATAGTAAAATAATAATGTCGTATATCAACTTACGGTCTGTGGATAGGCAAACACAGCGGAGACGATGGCCAACAACGCCAACACGGACACCCAAAGTTTCATCATTCTGCTGGATTCTGACGCCAAAGAAAGAGAGAATGAACCTTTAATTTCAAACTTTTATTTTCAAATTTCTATCTTCTTATTTATTATACAACGCGTGGTAAACAAATATACATGCACTACTATATGTTGTCAACAAATGTGTTCTAGTACAAATTGAGTTAATATAGCAAAAAATATGGCGGTAAATTAAATAAATACAGGGGTATATTGTAGCAGAGTGTAGTTCCGGGAAGTAGCAATTTTTATCCATAAGGAAAGGTGACAAAAGAGAGGGTAAGAGTAGTTCAGGGTAGGGTAAGACAAGTTTGGGTGGGGTACAACAGAGTTGCAGGGCATGATAGATTTTGGCTTGGAACGTTAGAGTTGGGTAAGGTAGGGTAGGGTAGGGTAAGGTAGGGTAGGGTAGGGTAGGGTAGAGAAGGTCTTGCTTAACCTACCTTAACTTAAGGACTATGTTGTCAAAAACTGCCAATAAGGCCAATATTACACTGACTGACCACCAGTTAGCTATGATAATGTCCGAAAATAAAAAATTAAAATTCCAAGAGTACTTTCGTGCAGATAAGAGCAAAAAATACATTTCCGAATATTTATTATGACAAAACAAGATTAGAACATGTATATAAATGTAAATACTTCCTTATTCAATTACTATAAGTGTACAGAGTTCACAAATGACAAAGCTTAATATAGGTGCACTAAGGTGGCTCATTTTTTGATCAACATAAACGTGTTTTTGCAAATGCAGCCAGTAACATACGTCTAGCTTAACTGTGCATCATAAAACAGTAAATAATTACCACATATAATGTAAAGAAAGTTTTGTCGTTTTTTGACAAAACATTGCACTCCCATAAGCGACAAGACTTTTTTTGAGACAATAAAAATAAGTAAAAATTTAAAATTATGACAAAAACCTTTTTACAAAACGAAAAACTGCAAGAACTTTCTTTACAAATCATAAAATGAAAAAAAAACTTTGTTTACAGCACATAAAATGGCAAGAACTTTCTTTACAGAACATAAAATGACAACAACTTTATTTACAAAACAAAAAATGGCAAGAACTTTGCTTACAAAGCATAAAATAGCAAGAACTTTCTTTACAAAACACAAAATAGCAAGAACTTTCTTTACTCAAAATATATAAAATAAAAAAAAATTTGTCATCAAATGCAAGTATTATGAAAACCTTTGTATAACTTGTCTTCTGCAGGCTGCAAAAAAACCGAAATGAAAGTATGGTTGAAAATTGTTTGGTCATAACCGTCCAATATCAAATATAATGATTTGCAAATGTTTTTTCAAAATTTAAAAATTTTGAACAATAAGTAAACGTTTCTCCCTCCTTCTAAATCTCCCCTCCTCCACAAAAAACCGTTTATTTTTGCAAAATGCAAAAATGAAAAAAATGCTTTAAGACCAAAGAAGCAACAGACATTCGAAGCCGATTTCGGCCCAAATTCGATGAATCTTTTGTCGCACAACCTTCCATCGGCTTCGAATTTCCTACACAGTTTCCCACCCAAAACACACTCAGCTGTGCATATCGAATGTAAACGCCTATTCAGGGTTCATGAACCATAACTTTACATCAAAATAAATTAAGGACAAGCCTTTCTTGTAAACGTTTTTTAATGCAGTAACTTATTGAAGAGATTGAAATTGATCATAATCAGTGTTATATAGGCAGATAATTTTGTATTGACTAGTAAAAAAAGAGGCAAGAAGAATTTTTGCAATGTAACGAAAGCTCTTGCCATTTTTTGCTTTGTAAAGAAAGTTCTTATCATTTTTGGTTTTGTAAAGAAAGTTCTTGCCATTTTTTGCTTTGTAAAGAAAGTTCTTGTCATTTTTGGTTTTGTAAATGAAGTTTTTGCCATTTTTTGTCTTGTAAAGAAAACTTCTGCCATTTTTTGCTTTGTAAAGAAAGTTCTTGCTTTTTTTTAGTTTGTAAAAAAAGTTTCTGCTATTTTTTGATTTGTAAAGAAAGTTCTTGTCATTTTTTGCTTTGTAAAGAAAGTTTTTGCCTTTTTTTTAGTTTGTAAAGAAAGTTTCTGCTATTTTTTGATTTGTAAAGAAAGTTCTTGTCATTTTTTGCTTTGTAAAGAAAGTTTTTGCCTTTTTTTTTAGTTTGTAAAGAACGTTTCTGCTATTTTTTGCTTTGTAAAGAAAGTTCTTGCCTTTTTTTCTTTGTGAAAAAGATTAATAACCCTGTTTACAACCTGGAATAGAATAACAAGTTTCAACAAGTCAATTAATATTATAGAACCACAATACTTAGGACTGTAAATATATTTACATTGTAAAACCCGAAAAACAATCTAATACCTGTAATTCAAGTAAAAACCATAAATGACAGTATACAAATGTCTACCCAATGAAAATCCAATAATTTTTTCAAATTAAGTAATCATAGCTTCTAGAAATTGCTACATTGATGTAAGCTCAATTGGTTAATCTGGTATTTTTTTATGAAAAATAATCTTTAAACAAGACAGGAAGCCTATAAGTTATTTAATATGTAAGCTATACCAAAGTTCAAAAATTGTTTAGAAGCTCTACAGCAAGAAATTAGTCTTATATAAACCTACCAAACTCGAGAAATTAAACTCACAAGAATAGTGCTTGACCTTCCACGGTCTGATTGGCCTCAAAATTTTCATATAAAATCTGTAGCAACGTACTAAATTATGCTTTTCAAGAAATCTCGAGAAAATCAAGATCAAAAAATTACGTTTTGAATTTTCAACCAAATGGGCATTGTGTTTCAACCTAATAACTTTGTCAATTTTTGACTTTTAATCATATTTTTGGACAAATAGTAGAAAATTTTTAAATAAACCTACACTTTTAAAATTGTAAGCGTAGCTTGTCTGGAAAGCCCAAAGACAATGTTTGAAACACAATACCAAATTGGCGGAAAACTCAAATATTTAAAACTTAAAACTCAAAAGCGCGAGCTAAAACTTTTTATGGGTACGATTGATGGTACAAAAAATTCATATAAAAAATTTGAGCTGATTCTGACCAGATCAAGCAAAGTGCTTTCCTTGTGAGTACGTACTATACCTCTACGAAAAATTTGTTTCTCTACAACAAAGTGTAGACTAACAGTATAACAGGCTTTTGTTTTTATTGGTTTCCTAAAAGAACTAATGTTCAACGTTAATGATCTTTAACTAATTACATTTTACAGCTTTAGAGACTAAATGAGATCTTAGTTTGAGCAACGGTCTTCTAGTGATGTCAAAGTAGAGCAATACACACATTTTTTAAAAATGATGACAAAGGTAAGACAAAAATAGCAATAACCTTTTTTACAAAACGTAAAATTGCAAGAACTTTCTTTACAAAACAAAAAAAACAAGAACTTTCTTTTCCAAAACAAAGAATTGCAAAAACTTTCTTTACAAAACGAAAAATGACGAAAACTTTCTTTACACAGCACAAAATAGCAAAATCTGATACTACACAGTGTATTCAAGACTTCTCTGTACCGAAACCTTTTATAGCAACCAAATTTTAAATCTCTAAGCAATTCGCCATACAGGAGTTCTACTGTATGACATAGAAAAAGGCTTTAAGATTGTGCAAAAATAAAGTTCTCATGCACTTAATAAATGATGATAAAGCAAAATTTTAAAATTTTTACTTCCATAATAATTCTATATCAAAAAACTTTAAAAAATACAGTAATCCCAACACCACACCCCTAAACATTTTTTTTTACAGTAACCCTACCACCACACTTCTAAAAATGTTGTTGTACAGTATCCCCATCCCCACACTCCTAAACATGTTGTTTCCGAGAACAACACTCCCTATGCATTCATGAACCAAGTAAGTCAAAATGTTTTAAGTACCAATTCCAGTGAATACGGAATGACATTGAAGAGATGGATTAGACCATCCTCACAGTCCAATTTATACGTTAATTTGGCTGGGCGGACCGTCGCTTCCATAAGCGACCCATAACTACTATAGGCAGTCCATAGCCACCATAAAAAAACTATATTTATTAGAATCACCCCTCCTATCTAATACAACATAATTTAGTTAACATTGTCGTCATAATATTCGAATTTTTTGAAAAATCTCTTCCTAATATTATTTCGAATTCTCGTTTTATGCAAAGAAATTTAATTTTCTTTGTTTTTAGCCACCCGGCTTCTAAGGACATCGCCGGCTTTGTACTGAAAATCTACGATATTGCAGTAGCACCAGCTGGTGGCGTGGATAATATGATTAACATTCTTTTAAAGCTGGGGTTTTACGTCTAGCCAAAAAATTGAGGAATTTATGAATTAATTTTGTTAGGTTTCAAATAAACAGGAAATGATGACTTGAATACACCAAAATACTTCATGCATAGCAATAGGAACATAGATAATACAGGGTGTCCCAAGATTTTTGCGGAAAAGTAAAAGCTTGTTTCTCGAAAAGTACCAGTCCAAATTGGACGATTCTTTTTTTAGTACACTTGAAATTGCGGGCGGATTTGGTATTGGTACTTCGTTTTTTGATATTCGGCGGATGGTCGGCGGAGGCTACTTTTTTGCTTTGACCAATCCAAAACCTTCATTTTTTGGTTCCTATGTCACCTGCTGATTCGTCAAAACGCTTTCCAATCAAAACATGTCTTTCCCTGCATCGGCGGACGACCGGCGGAGAAAAACGGCGAAGGCCATAACTCCGCTCAAACTCAATATTTTTTCACCGGACAAAAAATGGAAATGTTATTTTAAGCTTTTTAATACATTTAATCAAGTTTACAGTTCAAAAAATTTCATCGGCGGACGATCGGCGGAGAAAATCGGCGAAGGCCGTATCTTGGTCAATTTTTAATAGTTTTTCTTCGGGAAACAAGTAAAAATGTTCTTTTAAGCTTTTTAATCATTTCAATTACGTTTAAAACTCAAAAAATTTCACCGGCGGACGATCGGCGGAGAAAATCGGCAAAGGCCGTATCTTGGTCAATTTTTAATAGTTTTTCTTCGGAAAAAAGTTGCTGGTACCCTAAGGTCCTTCTCTACCTAACTGTTACGAATTCAGAAATTAGTGAAGTTTTTTAAAAAATAGTTAAGATTACTTTCGATCGACAGAGATCATGTATTTTTCAAATAAAACCATAAAAACATAGTTGAAACTATTCTGACTTGGTATTATTTTTATTTTTTTAAAACTCTTTGATCAAGAAAAAATGGTTTGGGGTGCTGATGTTAAGAGTGAATGTGTTGAATGGTATTTTAAGTTAGGGGAAAGTCCTGAAAGCGTTCGTAGAAAGTACATGGCCGTGTATCACCCCCGTAGCCCTCGTACACCCTGTCCATCAGCAGATTCTATTAAACGCTGGGTTATCGAGTTTCGTAGTCGTCGCCACTGCCTCAGAAAAGAAAAAGTGAAAACAAAGTAAGCACAACTAACAAAATAACATTTCTTTAGCTTTGTTGCCACTCCTGAAGTTGTTGCTAGAATTGGGGATGCTATTGCCGACAATCCGCGAATATCTGTAAGAGAATTGAGCCGTTTTGAGGGTATACCTTCGAAGAGTACATGTAGTCGGAAATTGCGCGAAGATGGGTACCACCCATACAAACTTCAAAAAGTGCAAGAAATCTTGCCAAGGCACATAGTACAACGTTTATCGCATTCAAATGTTATGCTTGAGCAGCTGCAAAACAACGAGGCGTTTTTGGAAGAGCTAGTTTTTAGCGATGAATCCACGTTTCATATCCATGGCCGCTTAAATCGTCAAAATTCAAGGTGGTGGGCTAAAGAGAATCCTCCCTGGTGTGTATCAGAGCCGCTGCATTCTCCCAAAACGAATGTGTGGGCAGCCATCGGGTGGAACGGGGTTGTGGGGCCTTTTTTCATTGATGAAAACATTAACGGGGCACGTTATTTGGAGCTGTTAGAGCAAGATGTGTTGCCACAGCTTCTACAGTGGCCAAATTCAGGTACGAAAAACAAGCAAAATACTAATTTATATCTTTTTAGCTACTTTGATGTACATGCATGATGGGGCTCCGCCTCATCATAGCTTAGTTGTGCGCGAGTTTTTGAACACCCATCTGCCGGGTCGCTGGATGGGTCGGGATAGTCGCGGCGCTCCTCCTCCGTTCGTTTGGCCGGCAAACTCGCCCGATCTAACCCCAATGGATTTTTCCTTTGGGGTTACGTGAAGGCAAAAGTATACAGTGTTCAAGTCGCGTCGTTACGCGAACTAAAGCAAAAAATTCGCGATGTGGTTGCGGAGATTTCAGTGGAAATGTGTCGCGCAGCTTTGCGCAACTATCCGAAGCGATTGCGACGGTGTCTTGATGTTGGTGGTCAAAGTGTGGAAAGGAGTTACCCAGCAACCAACGATGAACAATCTCATTAGTTAGCGTTGTTGTTATATAGGTTATTGTTAATAAACTTTTTATAAAAAATATCGGAATAGTTTTAAAAAGTTAAATAAAAAAATAAAAAAAATAATATTTTTTAAAAAAAAATTTTAAAAATTTAAAAAATTTTTAAATTTGTTTGGTAGAGAAGGACCTTAGGGTACCAACAACTTTTTTCCGAAGAAAAACTATTAAAAATTGACCAAGATACGGCCTTCGCCGATTTTCTCCGCCGATCGTCCGCCGATGAAATTTTTTGAACTGTAAACTTGATTAAATGTATTAAAAAGCTTAAAATAACATTTCCATTTTTTGTCCGGTGAAAAAATATTGAGTTTGAGCGGAGTTATGGCCTTCGCCGTTTTTCTCCGCCGGTCGTCCGCCGATGCAGGGAAAGACATGTTTTGATTGGAAAGCGTTTTGACGAATCAGCAGGTGACATAGGAACCAAAAAATGAAGGTTTTGGATTGGTCAAAGCAAAAAAGTAGCCTCCGCCGACCATCCGCCGAATATCAAAAAACGAAGTACCAATACCAAATCCGCCCGCAATTTCAAGTGTACTAAAAAAAGAATCGTCCAATTTGGACTGGTACTTTTCGAGAAACAAGCTTTTACTTTTCCGCAAAAATCTTGGGACACCCTGTATAATATGATACAAAATAAAAAATTACTAAAAAGTGTAATAAAATAAAGTAAAAATAAAGAAAAATTTACTGTTTTTCTAATTTTAATTTTAAATATATATCAAAAATACATTCAATATAAAAAATGACATCAAATCGTAGAAGTTCAATACCGCAGTTCGCAAAATTTCGGGCGCGCATTGCAAAGATAAAATAAATGTAAAATTAACTTTTTGATGTTCAAGATAAAGTTCAAACTCTTTTATAGCTAAAAGAAACTTTATTACATCTATAAATAGTAATTTACTCACCTCAGATAGTACTTTACATTATCTATGAGAAGAATTTACGTTGTTCGACATGCTGAACGTGAAGACAACGTAAATTCAAAATGGCATCGGGATTATCCCGATTTTACGAGTGATAACTCACCTTTATCAGCGCGAGGACGAAGTCAGTGTGAGGATTTGAGGAAATAGTAGGTTTTTATATTTATAATTCATTAATATTTGTGAATTTCACTTATTCTACGCTATCTTTTGAATGTTTTTGATGTTAACATTGTTTTAGTTTTGAGAAAATTGAAATCTCTTCAATATACGCTTCTCCATTTGACAGAACAATGGAAACAGCTTCAATTTTGCTTGGGAAGAAAGAGAACAAGATCAAAGTAGAAGCAGGATTTATTGAAGTAAGTTAACTTTTACTTTTATCTGTTTTACCTTTAGATAATGTACCTCTGCGAGGATCCACCTGGTTACTGGCCAACAGATCAATTGGCTACAAAGTTTCCGAAAGTTGATTTATCTTATAAGCCAGTCTTTCAAGCACCATTACCTCCAGAACCAGATGATTGTTTGGACAGGGTGGACAAGACCTTGCACAAGATCATCGAAAGAGAAGAAGACGCTGAGAACATTGTTATAGTGTCTCATGGGTCACCTGTAGCCAGTATTTATGAGAGTTTGACTGGTCGGTATCAATACATTGGACAAACTACAATTAGTATATTTGAGGAGACTGGATTGGGATCTGGAAAGTTTGTTTGCATTCAACGAGCTGGACGAGATCACTTGTCACGGGATAATAAACTAAATTTACGGGGTTAGATTAAGATTATTAGGAAAGGAAGGATAAATTTAATTGTAGATTTAAATTGCCAATAAATTTGATAAAATTTTTGTTTTATACGCTTTTATTTGAATAGCTATGTTAATGTCGTTGATATTACAGTTCTTAATAAAAAAGTTTGTGATTTAGAAGAAATTTTTTGAAATTCGCTTTGATTTCTAATATTATATGAGTACTAGTAGCCTTATTTTCATTTCTTTCTTAAATAAAGGTACTAATAGCTTTATTTCTACAAATTCTTATGATATTGTTTTTGTTTGTAGATACGAGATAAATAAAACAAGGAAAAGAACAGCTGCATTCAAGTTCAAGCTCTTTTTTACTCAAAGAAAAGATCGCTGTGTTTTATAAAACTATTTCTGATTTTTAAAGAATTTGATCAGCTTTGGCATAACTTTTCATCTTCTATATAGATAAGGAGCTTCTAACATTGTTTCAACTGGCTTTTAATATTGTTTTAACAGGCATCTCTGACGATTTTCTAAAGTTGTTCTAATTGGAATTGTGGTCAATTTCCCCACTTCAGAAGCTTCAGATGGATTTTGTGGAATATTTTCCATTTGAAGTTGCTTTACAAGTCTTTTCGAAGCTAACAATACCTGAAATTTTTACGTGTAGTAAGGTTTCGAAGCGATGGAAAGAATTTTTGGACCACAACAGCTCATGGAAAGTGAAGTGCAAAAAGCTGGGGATTGGTATTGGAGGTGATCAGGATTGGAAAACAGCTTTTGATAAGTAAGGGCAGGGCCGCGCCGAAAAACTGGCCTGGTTGCTTTACAGGCCTAATTATACTGTTATATTTACAGAGTAGGCCAAAACTGGAAAGATGTAAAGTGTACAGAGAAGAAAATGGAGTGGAACAATGTGAAGAGCTTACAATTCAAGGATGAGTTCCTGTTGATTAGAATGAAGCATGAACTTGAAATTAGACATCTTGATAATTTAGATGAGGTAAGCACGTTACAATGAAAAAAATTATAAAATAAAAAATAATTTAATAAGTTTTTGAACTATCGTATAATACCTTACACAATCAACCCAAAAAAATTTTTTGCTTCTATGCATGACCACATTACACCAATTTCCAGGTTTACCAAGTAATCGATATGGAATGGCTAGAATATGATTTCCACCCTTTCAATCAGAACAAGTGGCTAGCCATTTTGGAAAGTGAAGATACTGGTCATCTACGGCTACGGGTATACCCATTAACAAAGACAGAAAAAAGGCTACCCTATCTTTTTACTAAACAATTGGCACCAATTTACTACATGCATGCTGAGAATGTCTTCTTTTGGGATGATACGTAGGTTTACCCAGGGCCCTGGTAGTAGTAGTTAATGTACTTTGTCATTCAAAGTTTTTGTTAGAGACTACCCAAAACAGTACAAATGGCACCAAATTACTATTCTTTAGGTTAGTAAAGTCAGCGAACGTTGATGGGAACCAAGAGATTCATCTTGTCAATCTTTGTAATGGAAAACTAGAGCGATCTTTCCCGATTGGGTTCCAAAGGCCTAGCATAAGATACGATGGCAAATATTTACTGTATTATGCTAGAAAACAGCCGATTGATGTGTTTGTAATGGAAACAGGCTTCTTCTGGAGCATACCGGTTGAAAACGAAGAGTTCAAAGTAAGTTTTATTGGAGAAAAGTAAGATTTTGTTGTGTTAAACTACTACAATATTGTTTGGATGAGAATACATGTTTTAAACTTGATAAGAACTTAGTGAACAGTCAACCTAAAATTTCCTATTCCACATCCTATTTTACATTTTCCAGCCTCGAGCAACCATCCTCAGTCCGCTAAAACAACTTCTGGCCTCATATTCAGGCATTTTATTTGACTTTTACAACATTGAAACGGGTGAAAAATTGAAAAGATTAGAGACAAATATACCCAACACTACTGACCTCAACTACCGCATCTTCTACAGACAGAAATTACTGTGTATATTCAGAGAAAACCAATTGAAAGTTATGAAATTCGATAAAAATTGGCAAGACTACGGGTATTATGGTCAAGAACTGGCGTCTCACGGCCAAATCATCGGCCTTGCTTATCGAGGGGAAGCTTTAGCATGGGTACAACCTTCGTGGGAAGTGGGGCATCTGGGGCTACTCAATTTAGAGACTAGTGAGTATTTAAATAATGAATTTGAACAATATAGCCAGAGGGCGCTAAATGAAACATAACCAATTTGAAAGGGCACCAAAGAAGATGAAGTTTTTTTGGTTGATCAAACACAGTATAAGTTACGTATACACAAAATGTCATCTTGATATCAAGAGCAGAAATATAATTTTTTAATAGAAACGTCATGTATAACATAAACTTTATGTTTCATTGCTTAAAACATCAATTATTTAGATGAATTTCGAGAATTGGGTCAATTTGAAGTTGGTTTTATACCTGAATATTATCTACGAGGATCAGCGTTATTCGTTTTCTCCGTTGCCAGCAAAGAAGCCGATGTTCGGCAGTTCTCGTTTCAGCCTGAATAATATTGCCATAACTTAATGAAAATAAAGCTTTAGAATTATAAACGTCGTCTAAAAGTTGTTTGAAAGTAATATTGATTACTTAACACTATTTTTACTTCACAAAATATTTGAATATGCGAAAAGTAAGACAGTTTCCTCAAAAAAACAATGGCAGGTGCGCAAAACCTCACAAAAGTCGATTGTGACATTTCGTCGCCAACTAACGATAAATCGAGACAAAAATCGCGAACACAAAGTCGAGAATTCATGAAAAGAAGGCCTTTCCGGACAATACCAAAAATATTTTTATACGTGGCGTTTAATATTTTTGTTTGGATTTGTTTTTACTTTATTATAGAGTTTGCAGCTGATGTCTATATTGTTTTAGGGTACAAATGCGGTTAAAACTCTTGGTTTTTCTGGCACTGCTGGGTGTGACAGTAGCAGAAGACAATGATCTTCTTCAGGACAGCTCGATTACAGAATACAGAGGATATTTTAACAGAGAACATTCACTTTTGAAGCCATATATGGGTAAGAGTTGTTTGTTTTTAAAAATTTAGAGGTAGCTTGACGCATTTTTGATGGAAATGGCCTCTTTATACGGCAAATTGAAAGCTGTACCTTTAGTACCATAAAGGTTTTAGGCGTTCTTCACTTTAACTTTGAGAAATTGAAATTCTAATGCTTAACATGTTATTCATGGCCAATTTTCAGGTCATGGCATGGACGTGCCTTATTGGGACATTACTGGATCTACTATTGTAACAGCTCAACAAATCAGACTTACGCCGAATCTGCAGGGTCGTCAAGGTGCTGTTTGGAGTCAAATTCCAGTCCAAAGCAGAGATTGGGAACTTATGGTAACATTCAGAATTCATGGTGATTCTGGAAAACTGTTTGGAGATGGAATTGGAATTTGGTATACCAGAGAAAGGAACCAAGTTGGGCCTGTTTTTGGATCGAAGAACGGATTCAGCGGATTGGGAGTCTTTTTGGATACTTATCACAATGATTATAGCTCTTATGCAGTAAGTGTTTGCTTTCTTTTTGAATTTTAGATAAAGTACGATGTATTGTTGCGAAGCGGGAATGGAGAACTTTTTTTTGTGTCATAAGATTCCTAATAAAGCCACGTTCAACGTGAAATAGCTACTGCTTGTCATATAGTGATTAATTTTTACAATTTTAGCACACATTCCCCTATATTTATGCCATGGTATCTGATGGCACTGTAATGTATGACGGAGACAAAGATGGAGGAGATGGACGTTTGGGAGGAGCGGATTCTGGATGTGAAGTCAAGTTCAGAAATGTTGAACATGAAACACACGTTCTTATCAGATATGTTGGCGATACTTTGACTGTAAGTTGATTTTTAATGTTTTCGAAGGCGTAAAAGGTTATAATATGTTTTTAAAAACATTTTATGTTAATTTTAAGACTAAATTATTAACATAAAGAGAATAATTCGTTGTTTTTAACGGTTTTTTTTCTATAAAGCTTGTTTTAGGTATACCAAGATACTGAAAACACCGGAAAATGGAATCAATGCTTGAGGGTTGGAGGTGTTCATCTGCCAACTGGATATTACTTTGGTTTGTCTTCAGCTACTGGAGATCTTTCAGGTAATTTGAGATGTTAAAGTAGTCGTTTTTTGTTTTTTAGCTTTATATTTTATACGTTTTTTGAGCTTTTTAGATGTTAAAGGTTAGCTAGATGAATTTCGTTTTGTTTTGCTTTGAAAATCAAGCTCATTTTAAAATTTATACATTCTTTTTAAATTTATAGACAACCACGACATTACTGCCGTCCGCATGTTTGAAATCGAGTACTCTCGTGCTGAAAATCTCAACGAAATGGATCCATCCAGAATCCAGCCTAAAGCCGACTACGTAGCTCCACGAGACCACGTATCTAACCCCTCACCATCTCAAATGAGCACCTGGGGCAAATGGCTTCTAATCATCTTGGGTGTTTGTGCAACTGTCGGTGGAATCGCGGTGTTTGGCTACCTATGGTACCAGGATCGTCAGTCCAGATCACGGAAGAGATTTTATTAAACAAACAAAGCTAACTCTTATACTGGTATTCTAATTCATATTGCCGACATATCCCACCTCTATTTTGGGTGTAATGTCTGTCGAACTGGGGAGTGAAGTCGTTTTTAGTGGGGAGTGAAGTTGTTTAAAGTGGCAAGTCTTGGGAATTGCGTTAGTCTAAGGATTGGAAATGACTTTAGTCTTTTGTAAGCCAGTTTGATGGGCATTGGTGTTAATTTTGAGCTGATTTTTAGCGTTTTTGCGGTTAAAAAATGATTTTTTAGCTTATTTTAAAATTTTTATACATATTTTTATTTATTTTTTTGTAAGGTTAGTGGAATATTATAGTAAAGCAGCTGTTTTTATATTGTAGTAGAGCTCTTAAGGTTACTAGAACAATTTTTTGAAAGATTTTTGTTGAAAAATGTCATTTTTTTAAATTTTTTATAGAAAAAGTGACATTTTTAAATAAAAACATAAAACAATTTCACTTTTGCATGTTCTAATATTAAGGTAGCTTAATTTTTTAATAGTAAAGCAGCTCTGTTCTTAACACCAGTTCAAAGTCTTTTTTATTCTATTTTTTGGGTACGAAAACTGTCTATTTTAGGTCGATATTTTTTGAAAATTCTGTTGATTTTGTGCAATTGATAAATATTTAATTTATTATATTTCAAGTTTTTGGACTACAATTTTAGAACACTTCACTGTAATTATATTGTAGTAGAGGGAAGAAGAAAATGATGAATATAGAGTTGAAATGAATAGCATTAAAATGAAAACTAGGGCAAAAATGCATTAAAAATAAGCCATAGGCTTCTAAAAATCACAGGTGAAACGAAAAATTCGAATTTTGAAAGTTAAAAACGAATTTTAAAAATAGAAAATGAAATTTTCAAAAAAATTTCAAAAAATTGCCAAAATATGTGAAAATCTAGAAAAAGTTGTGCACCTTCAAAAGCATGCCATTCTTTGTTTACACTTTTGGGCCAACCGGTCCAAATGGATCATCAGAAACTCTACAGATCCATTTCCGAACTGGAGCTTCTCGAAAAACGCTCTGGCTATGAAATCTGTGTCAAGTTTTGGTCGTTCGAAATTACTTCAACCAACGTTGCTATAAGCACCAAAAATGTATGTCCGAAACCGACCAGCGACGTGGATAATATGTAAGTTGGCTTTTGGGTTTGGAAAGTGTTTAAATGTTGATTTTTTTTATGTTGTATCATAGTAGGCAAATGGAAAGAACTTTATTTACAAAACTAAAAATGACAAAAACTTTCTTTAAAAATTTAAAAATGGCAAGAACTTTCTTTACAAAACAAAAAAATGGCAAAAACTTTATTTCGAAAAAAAAGTTTTTGTAAGATTAAACTTTGCTTTTCAGAAGTTTTAAAAAAGCCGATGTTCCTGGTTATAGACAAGTACAACAAGTTGTCTTTATTCCCGAGCAATTCGAAAAGGTCATTTATGTGGCTTTTAGTAATGGTAAAGAGTAAGTTCATTATTTAAAATTTTTTTTTATTTTTAAACGGAAATAAAAAAAAAATTTTAAGTCTTAAGCCTAATATTTCATTTTTTACCTCATAAGTTAAAAAAATAAAAAAATTTTAAAACCCTGATTTCAGAGTAAAATTTGTTGAAATATGTACCAACGAAACCTCAAGAACCATAGACAAACCCACCTCAACAGACGTCATGTATGGACTGACCAACACGGACAAACTTCGCCAAGCCTGTAACAGAAACTCACCTTCCTACCACATTGGAATCGACTGGTTTCCATTAGGTGGTGCCAAGTTTGACATGTGTCGCTTGCGTGATTTTGGACTTACACACGATGGAGAGATCTGGCTAGATAAGGAGAAATGTTTGATTGTGGAAAGCAAGAATAATGACAAAGTATTGGTGGAAAAGAAATGTGATAATGTTAAGGAATTGCTATTTTCTATGGTAAGTTGTTGAGGAATGTGTGGTTACTCTATTTTTTGTCTTAATTGAGGTATGGTGGAGAGGGGAAGGGGGTTATTTTTTTATTTGTAAGTAGAATAAAACTAAAGGATTGGGCGCATTTTTTTGGTGGGTTAGGGTAGAGCAGGGCGGGATAGGGAAAGAATCAGCTTTGTTTTACAATTTTGGCAAAACAACTCTTTCGTTGCGGGACCTAAGCTGAGCTGCTGGAAACTTGGTGTGGACCTCGGCATTCGGGTTTAAATATTTTTACATATTTTGGCCCGGTCTTTTTCAAAATTTTCTTTGGCTTGGCTTGGCCTCTTGTATGGTCTATTATAGACAGAGTTGGATGGGGGACTTTGCTCTGAAGCGTTAAAAAATTGGCAATAATGCTAGTTTTTCTTAAATTTTTTTTTTCGGAAATTGTCTTATTTTACTCTACCCCATGCTACACTACCCTACTCTACGTACTCTACTATACCCTAACTTAAAATTAACAGGAAGGACAACGTTCCATTTTTTTCTTATTTTTTTTTGATAGAGGCTTCTGTTCTCTCTCCTAGCATCCATTAGGTTGTTCACTTAATTCTGCGCCCCTTCTTAAAACAAATTTGTGGGGCAAGGGGGCGTAGGATTATTTGAACAACTTAATATAATAAAATCGGTATAAAATAGTCATGTTTTGTTGCTTATAAACAGTATTTTCTGTATGCCCGATTTCTTGTTTTTAGAAAGCTTTGAAACACCGTGGCGCACTAGATGTTAACGAAAAAGATGAAGAACCAACTAACTTTGCACTGTTTTACTACAAAGAGTAAGATTTTACACATTTTTTATGGTAGTATTGATTCTAATAAGGTTTCGTTGGCTCTACTAATAATTTTTAAGGTTTGGATGGTAGTATAGCTGTTCCATATTGATCAAGCTTAAAATTTTGTTGGAATTTAGTGATTATGCTTAAGTTTTTGAGAGTATGTTGATTATGCTTAAAGTTATAATGACAATATTGATCATGTTTAACTTTTTTCTAAACTTTTCATTTTAGGGCATCAACAGACGATGTTGTTGTTGTTCATCCAAAACTGAGCGAAGTTTCACCAATTTTTGAAGAGTTTGAAGAGAGAGGAGAAGAAAGCTTTAGGTAAGAGTTTATGTTATTATCTAATAATAAAAAGGTCTTTATAGTCATTTAGAGGCTTTTAAAATTTTGCAGTTAACTTTAGCTATTGATTTCAAGCTTTTCAGCTGGTGGCCTCTAATCATCCTTCTGATTCCTCTACTGCTTTCCATCGTAGCCTCTAGCATTACAGCTATTTGCTTATGGAGAAGGAAATCATCTGCTGAAGTTGTGATGAACAACGATAAAGAGTCAGAATCAATTAGTGAGGCTTCAGAACAGAAAAGCGACAAAACCGACCAAAAACAAGAGAAATCACGGTCAGCGGAGGTTGATGAATACAAGAACGCACCCAAGTATTACATTGCCGACCCAAAACTACCTCCCAAAAAGGTTTCGAATATGACCGAGAAAGAGCGGCTACTGCTACAACCACCTTCGTCTCAGTCTTCGGTCTCACTAAAAGTTCCAGATATAAAAGCAATGGTCTAGTTAGGGCAAATGATAGCAACTGTTAATGAAAGGAACAAGGACCTTTTATAAATTTGGTTTATGTACAAACTTCTATTCTTTTTGGAAGGAGGTATAAAGAATTTTGAATTTATGACATGTTTTTTAGTAAATGGAAGTTTTAATGGTTCTACTTAAATTATTCTTGTAGGCCCATGATAGTTATCGGTATGTTGGTTGTCACAGCAATAGTAACGATAATATATTATGATTAAACTATCATAGGACTTTGATGTGATCAGGGTAGGGTGTAGATAAGGTGGGTTACCATTAAGATGGAATATTGGCAAGGTTGAGTAATGTAGAGTAGGGTAAGGCAGGATAAGGTATGATAGGATAGGGCAGGGTAGGCTAGGATAGGGTTACGGTAGAATAATCTAAGATACCACTATGCCCATTACCGTAATCATCAGTTTTTTACTTCTAACAATAAAGAAAAATTTTATAAATAGCTAATTATCTATTCTTCCGGCCATTAATCATATCATTTAATTGACGGGTTTACTCATGCTCAAATTGCTAATCAAAAATTGTTTTTTTTTCAAATGAATTGTGATTTCAGAACGGAAACAATGACTAGAATTATCTAGGGAATTCAGCTGCTGATTCATTTAAATTCACAATAGAAGGCTTTCTTAAGGCGTTTTAGGGTAGGGGCTTGGTTGTATAAGGTGTTCACCTTACACTTGAATTTAAAAAAACGTTTTGTCGTTTTTTAGCATTGTATTGGGAGGTAAAATACGCCAAAGTTATTAGGTCTTTAAAATTTATTGAATTTTTAATTTTCTTCAATTTTTTTAAAATTCAAAATTAAAAAATTTTTTTTGAAAAAAAAAATTTTTTTTGGGCAAAAATACATTACAAAACCCCCAATCTTAAGGTTGTGTTGCCTCTCGAAAGCGGCGTAATGCCGTTTGATCTCTTTATACCTATGTATCAAATTAAACATGCTCGGTGACACCCTTGACCCTTAATATGAGGGCTCTTCTGAATACGTAATCGAATATTCTTGCGCCTCTAATTTGGATTCTTTTACGCATAAAGGGCAGGGTGATTGGTCTTTACATTTGATTTATATGATTTTAGGTACAACACATTCAGTTTTTTTTTTATTTTGAGTTTTTTTTAAGCCAGTTTTTTGTAAATGATTTTGAGTACGAAGGAGGGTATGAAGCAGGCAAGGACTTCGCTACAGATTTTTTTTCTGGGGGCAGGGGGTGGGAGGAGTGAAAGGGAATTTTTTTTGGATTAAATTCAGTTTTTGTGCATCTTTTTTTCAAAAATTCTGAGGCTTTTTTTGGTTCGACTTTGGAGTGGATTGATCGACCTTTATTGTCGCTTTCTATTCCGTCTTATAGCTACGTCCTTAGTAGGAGATAGATAGTATAAGAAGAGAAAATATAATAAAAATGTAAAATATGTAGTCCTATATCTGAAAAAAATATGTTTTGTTTCACATACTAAGAAAAAAGTTACAAAGAAGAAGAAGGTCTGTAAACATATTTACTACGGAAGCAAAACCAGCTCTGTTAATCAACGCTTTTTTTGCTACTGTCTTGTTTTGTCTCATTAAATTATGTCATCTTGTAATGTAACTTTGCTTATTAGTCACATATTCTTGTAAAAATTTTTTTTGGAAAATGATTTATAAATGTATAACTGGTAGTAAGGTATAACTACAGGGTGTTAAAGCTAGAGAAAGTTTACGATAGCGTTGGAGCAGGGTTAGAATAAGGCTGGTTAGGAGCAAGTTTAGGTTAAGTTTGAGAAAAATGTATGGCTAATGTAGAGAGAAGGTAGATTTACGGAAGAACAAGAGTAGAGCCAAGGCGCTGGGTTAGGGCTCTGGGCTAGGGCTCTGGACTAGGGCTCTGGGCTAGGGCTCTGGGCTAGGGCTCTGGGCTAGGGCTCTGGGCTAGGGCTCTGGGCTAGGGCTCTTGGCTAGGGATGTGTTCAATAGCTTTGGTCTAAAGGATTAGGCTAGGGCTTTGGGCTAGGGCTCTGGGCTAGGACTCCGGGCTAGGGCTCTAGGATAGGGCTCTAGGACAGGGCTTTGGGCTAGGGCTACTGTATAAGTATTGATTTTGTGCTTTATGGCTTATGTTTTTTAAATTTATGTTAATACTTTTTTTGGAAGTTTATAAGTTTTGGCAGTCTTTCTACTATTTTAGTAACTCCACCATGACTGTTGGTTTTAGCCGATTATCTTTTTCGCAAATAGATTAGGGCTTCTAAAAACACGTTTTATTATATTATAAATGGGTAAAATACAAAAAATTGAAGTGTCTTTACTTTAATTTATGACATTTATTAAGTGTACAGCTTTTAACTGAAGTTTTTTTTGCTCTATATAAGTTGACTGTCTAGTCATATGTTGTTGTACACTTTCAGCAAAAGCCTTTTTACAAAACCATTGTTGACTGCGGTGTTACCCTTCAATTTGTCGCCCATAACGAGGGATTACTACTCTTTTCCATCGCAAAACGTTTTCATTTCGAGTGAGGGGGGATCGGATCATAAAGCCGGCGGATCCGTGAAAGACAAAGCGACACTCTCTGAATCTGATTATTCAGCTGAAGCGTTTCGTTTGGATTTGAAAGTTTACAAAACGCTGATTCATAACGGATTGGAGATGCATTCAGATGGTTTAAAACAATATAATAGCAGCAAAACAGTTGAAAATAGAATGGCAGAATAGAAAAAGTAAACAGTGGGTTTTGGGAATGTTGGTTTTTATGAAAAGCGGCCAAAAAGTGAGTAGAAATCTAGAAAACATAGCTAATTGGGCTTGAAAAATCACATCTTAGGATTTGTGATCGCGATTTTGATTTGTAAAGGAAGCTATTGCCATTTTTTGATTTTTAAAGAAAGTTATTACCATTTTACGCTTTGTAAGTAAAGTTCTTGCTGTTTATCGTCCTGTAAAGAAAGTTATTGCAATTCTTAGTTTGCAAAGGAAGTTATTGCCGTTTCTTGTTTTGTACAGAAAGTTTTTGCTATTTCTTGCTTTGTAAAGAAAGTTCTTGCGATTTCTCATAAGTTTCAATAAATTTTTCTATTCTACAAACTTTTTGACCGGAATTTCGAAAATAAAGTGTTTTTTTTATTTCTAGATCTATAAAATACATTTTTTGATATTTTAGGTAACATTTATGTTTAGTTTAAAAAATTTAGGGTTTAGTACTACGATAATCTTGAAACTTGTCATCATTTTTGTACTTTTCTTTATATTTATATTAGCCAAGACTTGCAAACAGCAAAGACAAAGCCTTAGGTAAACAATTAGACTCAAGTAAACTTATTTTATTAGAGACAATATTAGTTAGAGAGAGAGACAGAAGAAAAAAAGGAGAAATAAAGATATTGATGTTGGTTAGGGTAATTATAGGACAACGGTAGGGCAAGGGTAAGGCAAGGGTAGACCAAAGGTAAGGTGAAAGCAGAGCAGGGGTTGGGCAAGGGTAAGGCAATGACAGAGCAAGGATTGAACAAGGATGAGGCAAGTGCGGGGCAAAAGTAGAAAAAAAGTAGGGCAAAGGTAGGGCAAGAATACGGTAAGAGTAAAGCGTGTATAGGGCAAGGGTGAAGCAAAAGTGAGAAAAAAGTAGGGCAAAAAGTAAGGCAACGGTAGAAAAAAAGACAGAGCAAGGGTTGGGCAAGGTAGAGCAAGGGTAGAGCAAGAGTAATACGAAGGTAAGGCAATAGCAGAGCAAAGGTAAGGCAATGATAGAGCAAAGTGTAAGACATGGTACGTTTTTTAACTAACTAGGTAAAAACAGTCATAGATCACTGTCAACATGGGTAAAACATGAAAATTCTTTCCTAAAAATTTCGTAATTTCCAATCAAACCCATGCCTAGACACACTTCTACCCCGCCGCCCATCCAAGAGACCTCCAGCTGCGAAACAAATCGCGACAACACACATTGCGATAGACGTAGTGCATGCACTGGAATCGAAGCCCTCGGAAAGAATTTTGTTTTATCGAAATTCGGAAACATCACGGCCGACGCGGAGAGGGCGCAGCCCGCGAAAGACCCATGACAAGGGATCGGCGCGGGTTTTTGTCATCGCGCACGCCGCGACCGTCGCCAGAGAAGCGAGAGCGAATTTTTTGTTTTGTCGGTCGGTCGGTCGTCGCTGCCCCCCAGTTTTTTCGAATCGATCTGACTCAGGTTTTTGCGCCGTTAGATTATGTATGTTTGTGTGGTTGAAGGCCAATTCTTGTACGAGGAGGGGGCATTCCACGGGAAAATTTTTGTATAGGGAATTTGGGAAGGAGACGGGGGTTACGTAAGAACATTTGCTGATTTTTAAGAAATGAGATACTAGCTTTGTTGATTTTTTGAAGGTTCTAATGTCGTCTTTACTTCTTTCAATTATAGACTTTGTAATGAAAGTTTTTGCTACTTTTGATTTTGTAAAAAAAGTTTTTACAATTGTTTTGTGTTGTAAAGAAAGTTCTTGCCAATTTTTTGCTTTGTAAAGAAAGTTCTTGCTATTTTTTATTTTTTAAAGAAAGTTCTTGTTTTGTTTGTCCTAAAGGAGCTTCTTTATACAGGAATTTTAAATACACTGTGTAGTGATAGTAGGGGAATTTTAAAAGATGTTTATTATAAGATATTTTTGTTATACAGGAGTTTCACTGTAAGACAAAAATTTTAAGTCAAACTCAAAGCTATGGAAAGCTAGATAAAATAAAATAAATTTCATAAAGTTTTTACATATATTTCTAAATAGTCCGATTTCATGAATTTCAAAGAATTTCAAAGCGAAAGGGTCAAACGAAACAGCGAGGTAGCGCAAACTTAAAGACAAAAGTTTTTAAAAAGAATATTGAGTTAATTAAATCAAGTTGAATGAAAGACGAGTATAATGAATGGAAAGTGGTGGGAGAATAGTCAGAATTGGATAATGGGATGGGTAAAATCAAAAGAAGTTTCATTTTTCATTACTTTTGATGTTATGTATGGTCATATTGA